GAACATTTGAACGAATATTGGACGATTAGAACATTAAAAAAAATTCTGAGAATGCATTCTCCATTATTAGAACATAAACCGGAACATTAGAATACATATTCGACTATTCGAACATAAATAAGTTCGTTAGAACATATATTTAATCATTAAAACATAAGTTAGAACGTTTAATTGTATGATTCAACGTTAAAACATCTTGACGAACATTAAAACATAAATAAGTTGTTATAAACACATGTGTTATGGTCAAAATATATGTGTGAACTTTAAAGCACATAATTTATTATTGAACCATAAGTTGCATCGTTGATATACATATTAAAACATTTTTTTTGTCTTATTATGAGAACGTGATGCTTTCATCACAAAATAAATAAAAATTTTAATTAATTCTTAGTAAAATTACTAATTATTAATTTAGAAATTTAAATTATTAAATTACAAATTACTTTTGTATTTAGTAATTTGGCAAAAAAAATTCCAAATTACTCCTGTAATTTGTAATTTCACCAAAAATATTATCAATTACAAAAGTAATTTGTAATTTGATCTATAAAATTACAAATTACTCCGTTAATTTGTAATTGGATCTACGAAATTACAAATTACTTTATTAATTTGTAATTGGATCCATTAAATTACAAATTACATTATCAATTGATAATTTTAAAAATAAAATTATCAATTAATACTGTAATTGATAATTTTATTTTCGATATTAATGATTATTCAATAATTGATATTTTTTTTTTCTAAATTATCCATTACAGAAGTAATTGATAATTTTGCCCTATAATACTACAAAAAAAAATATTAATGCCGAACCCTGATTTGAATGGAAATAAATTCTTGTTAGTTTAATTAATTTCTACGCTTATATAAATATTGAAAGAATAAAAATTGATGCAATAGTAAACTTTAGATAACTTTCTCATACAGTCCAATTCTTCCAACAATTATTGACGTTTTTTAATTGTTTATAACAATTACAGGCTGTTATAAACAAATCAACTCCGCGAAAGTACATATAGAGTCATCAGAGACCTTATCTAGTCGATATTAAACATATTCCGCTGGAAAAACTCAAATCCAATAATTATTGACGTTTTTCAATTATTTATAACAATTACAGGCTGTTATAAACAAATTTTAGTGGCGAGAACAGATATAAAATTAATTATTTACTGAAAAAATTCAACTGATATTTAATTTGTTTTTACAAATATTTTTTTGCAGTTAAATACGCGAGATTTATTTTCATTATTTAACCAATATTTAACCGGTTTTTAACCAATATTCAACCGTTATATGCGTCCGGATGTGTAAAAAATATTTTAGTTATTTAACCAGTTTTCAACCAGTTTTTAACTCATATTTAATTATTTTTTTTTTAAGTTAAATACCTAATATTTAACCGGGATTTAACCGAGATTTGACCGTGAATATCCAGTTAAATACGCAAGTTATTTATCTGCTTTTCAACCGAGAAAAAACGGTTGAATTTCGGTTCGATTATTTAACCGGACTTTAACTGGTTCTTTTCAGTTCATAGAAACCGCGAGGGCACTATATCCCTAAAATAAATTAGTAATAGTATTCTAAAAATATATGAAATTTTGACGAATTGACTCATGCAATGGCAGATTGCCGCGTCATAAGCGTTTTGTTTTCGTGTCTGGACTTTCTGGTAAGTTCCAAGTTACCTGAATCTAAAGGACGCTAGTGTGGATTTCTTAATCTGTAATGAAATATTTGGAGTAAAACGTTTTGAAATAAAATGACGCGAGTAACTAGTGATAGAGATCGTTTTTTGAAGGGGTATAATTGAAAATCTTATAATGTCCAACGCAGAAACGATGGACTTCTTATTTTCGTCATCATCATCATCAGACGATGACTTTGAAGCAGATTTCTTCTTCCTTTTAAATATAAAAGAAGAAAGAAGAAAAATTGAGGATTATATCAGAGTAGTTCGGTCATATAGTGATGAAAGGGTAAATAAATAATAGCAATAATGAACAAAATATTATGACTGTAATAATGATGTAATAATTAAAGAATTAAATCGATTATCATTTCGGTTTCAAGAAAACTTTCGACTAAGAAGATCTATTTGTTAAGTGATCAAACTATTCAAGAAAAGCCAATTCTATTTACGGAATCAGGGTGGTGATCCTACGAAATCCGCAGAAGTTCATATTTTAGCATTTGTGTGTTATGTGATACACGGCAAAAATTTTCTAGGAATTTTTACTAGTTAATTTAGAGTAAATTTTACTACCCAAAAAAGTTAAAAGTTAGTAATTTTTTTTTAGTAAAAATAGCTAAAAAAACTAAGAAAAAGTACTAGTTTGGCTGGTAAAAATTTCCAGAAAAAAATTTATAAATTCAGAAATTTACTTTCTATTGAATATATCAATTAAATATAATTATGCCTACATCAAAGGATTATTTTATACTTTCAGATGTTTTTACTTTATTACGCTGAAACACATCTATTTGCCTAATTTTATAACAATCTTTTAAATCTTTCAATCTCGGTTAAAAAGCAGATAAATAACTCGCGTATTTAACTGGATATTCACGGTCAAATCTCGGTTAAATCCCGGTTAAATATTAGGTATTTAACTTAAAAAAAAATAATTAAATATGAGTTAAAAACTGGTTGAAAACTGGTTAAATAACTAAAATATTTTTTACACATCCGGACGCATATAACGGTTGAATATTGGTTAAAAACCGGTTAAATATTGGTTAAATAATGAAAATAAATCTCGCGTATTTAACTGCAAAAAAATATTTGTAAAAACAAATTAAATATCAGTAGGAAATTTTTTCCGTGTGTAATGTCTAAATGTATTTTTAATTATTTCATATAATTATTTAAAATATATTTTAAGAAAAGCTAAAAATGAATAGCGATAAACTTAAGGATTGAGGTTAACGATTATTACTCAAGTTATTTTTTTTTTGAGTTTTCCTAAGATTTCGTTAAAATAGAAAGGATTTCGAAGAATAGTTGAGGAAGTCATTTTTTAGATATTTTATTGCTTTTGGAAAACCCACGTGGCGAAAAGCAATAAAACTCTAAAAAAAGAGTACGTGACATAAGAAGAGCGTTAAGCTTTTCCAAAAAGGGAAAAGACCATGCGAAGGGACTTGTGCGCGCCTGAAGCAAGGGACTTCTAATTATGTCACATTCGACTAAATAAATACGTAAGGTTTGATGCATCAGTCAGTTGTCGAAAAAGTAAGATCGAGATCAGATCGTCGTGGAACATCTCTTGAAATCATAAGTCTTGAGTATTGTATTGATAATACTTCAAAGTTTGTAAATTTTTGCATGAAGTTTATTTGATCGTCAAATTATTTTTAAATTGATATTTAAATTAATTCGCGAGAAAAAGTGAATAATTGCGCTGACTGGAACATCGACTGAGGACCAATTAATTGTAATTCATCTCGACCAGAGTAAAAGAAATCATCTGTTGGTAACGTTTAAATTGTTGTTATAATTTTTCAATAATTTTCATTCAATAAAATTTTGTTATTGTTTTTATAAAAATTACACATTTTTACTTTCTCTATCGAAGATCCCCTCATCCCTGTCTATTGGTCGAAAGGCTAGGACTAAAAAGAGGAACTTAAAGTCTCTAAGGTTAAGCATATGGTTTACATATTGACACCTTTAAAGAGCAAAATTACATAACACGTGTAAGTATTATTTTCACTTTTTTTGTGTAATAGTACATAATTTTAATATTTAATAACTTGAGCTTACGATCCCCACGAAATCTAGCAGAGAAAAATGTGAATGCAGCTGGTTTTCGAAGGGTAAAATTTTTTATCGCCAAAATTAATACTTACAAAAACTATAGAGTTATGAAATTTATTATCTAGAAAGTATATTTATTAAAATTTTTATTTATAGTTAACAAGGATTTCTGGAGTTGTAGGATGCATCGACGAAACATATGTACCGATCCGTACTCCAGCAGGCAGTACCAGCATGTACATCGTAAAATTAATACAAATCGTCATGACCAGACGTCGCTTACACTTCAGGCTATCTGTGATGCTAAAAGGCGGTTTATAGATTGTCTCACAGGTCCACCAAGTCGATGCCACGACTCAAAGATTTTTAAATTATCATTTATTTATCCAGTAGTACATAATCTCGGTCATAATTATCATATATTAGGGATTCTGCCTATGGAATAACAAACAATGTACGACACCATATAAAAATTAAGGAAATCTTACTAGGCAACAAATAGTTCATAATAATGAATTAAGCAAAGCTCGAGTAAAATAGAAAATAGTTTCGGATTATTAAAAAGTCGATATAGACATTTCGTTAGATGTGATTTAAAGAAAGTTGAAAAAACTGCAAATTTTATACTGTGCTGTTGTGTCCTACATAATTTGGCGTTAGAAGATGACGATAGTAATATTGTGAGAAATATTGAACTTCGAAGTAATATAAATAATTACGGCAATAATAATAATAATCTTAATATACATAATAATCTATTAAGATTGCGAAGAATTCGAGGTCAGATAAAGCGTAATAATGTTGCAGCTTTATTGTATATGTATGAAGTAGTATTAAGTTATGCTACATTCTATATTTAATTTTTCCTTTACTATAATTTACTATTTACAATTAAAAGATTCAAATATTATTAAATAATCGATATAATGGTAGTTTTAAATTTAAAATTAATTCTAAGTTTTAATGTATTTTCAATTTTGTATAAACAATTAACTCTAATAATAATATTAACAATAAAAGACCAATGTAATAGTTAAATAGTTTTTTATTCATGTTATTTATAACAAAACCTACAAAATAAATTGTCTTGTCAAACATTCGTTTTGAATAATGAACGTTTGTATGACCCGCTTTCAAGTTTTTATACTTCGGAACTTTTCGGGTTAGTTCGGAGTTACTCGTCTCTGCACCGTGCAAGCCGTGTGAGCAGCCGAAAACGCTATAACTGATTCTGCCCATCTAAATACACTGGATCGTATGTTTCTAAACTTTCTGACTTCAGCCCAGCCTTAAGATTATAATTTTACAATAAAAAAAAAGTTCTATAGTTTTGTGTCATTTTTACAAAATTGTTAAAAATAGGAAATTACAGTTCGTTTAGTGGAAAATAATTGTAAAAAATGCAACGAGAAGAAAAACAATTAGAAGCAGCTCTAGATGCAATAATAATGCGTGTTAATGATTTAAAAAATTCAATTGCTTCAATGATATTCAAACTGGAACATGAATATGAAACATTGAATTGGCCAAGTTTCTTAGATAATTTTGCTTTGATCGCTGGGCATGTAAGTTGTACATTGTTCTACAATATTATCAGTATTTTAAAAAAAACTATTTCAATTTAATGAATAATTATATGTTTCAGTTGACGAGTTTATCTAAAATCCTTGCTCACGATAAAGCACCCAATCTTCGAAATCTTACCGTTCTACCACTTTTGTTAAGTCCGGAAAAAGATGAAGAATTAGTAAGAATGACCGAGGGAAGAATTACAACATTTGCTCATGATTTAGTACCTGATTATCTAAGAACAAAACCTGAACCTCAAGCAGAACAGAAAATGGTCCAATTAGAAATAAAAGCTGCTAACTTAAGTTATGATGCTTCTCATGTAAGATCTTACTTTTATATTAAACTATTCATAAATATTAGTAATGAATAATTTTATTCACCACAAAAATTATTAAATTTTCTACAATTTTGTAATATTTTCTGTTGTTCTGCTAACTATGGTGTCTAGGACTCGAATGTAAGCTGCCAAAAGCTAATATTAATTGCTATTGCCTGATTCTTAGTGTAAATTACCCAAGATTACTATACTATTTAATCCATTACTCTTTTTTTTTTACTGATAGCTATCATTTATCCTATTATTTCAGAAACAAGTGGCTCAATATACTAAAGTTATTAATCACATTTGGGATATTGCCAATAAAGCTCGTGAAGAATGGGAAAGTGAAGCAGGATCAAGAGCACAACAAGCACAAACTAGTAGTGCTGCGGATACTCACGCATTGGTTGCAGCTGTAGGAATGGGAAAAGGTCTAAAAGTAAGTATATATTGTATTACTTGTTAAAAATAACATTTATATTAATTAATAATCTCGGTTTTTTTTTAGTCGGATTCAGTTCCATTGGTACAATCCGGTGTGAATTCTGTATCTTCGGGTATGATGGTTGGGCGTCCCAACAATCAATCTGGATCTGGCAGTCAAGGTAAATATATTTGTACAGTTGTTAAAACTAATTAATAAATTATCAAATAAATGAATAAATTACATTGTATACAAATATATCAAGGCTAGGTTAAAAAATAATTGAATTAAATTATATTTTCAGTATCAACAATGGGTAAAGCTCCAAGCACCATTAAAACAAATATCAAAGCAGCATCACAAATTCATCCATATAGTCGATAGTTCACTAATTGAAAATTAAGTTATATTAAATACCATGTGTATTATCATACTGATGTTTTATATTATTTATTTTATGTATGTATACAAAATAATTTTAATTTATCCTAATTTATGAAGAATAAAAAATAAATTTAAATACAGTATCATCAATTTATCTTGTTACTAATAATTGCATAACATCTAGGAGATATTTTATTGTTTAGAATAGTAACTATTTCAGTAGAATAGTTATTTTCTAATAACCAGCAACATCTATCATATAAAACTAGTGATTCTGCTGACATTTGAAGTAAACATTGTAGTGCAGTATAAATTTCAACATCTTCCATTTTATCTTTATGCAATTCCCAGAGTCTTAGTAGTTTTTCTTTTAATTGCTCATTATCAAATACCTTTATATTATTAAATTTGTATCTGTTCAATGTATCTAATAAATACTGATGAAAACTTGAGCATTGAGTTTTTCTTGTAGCTTTTTGAACACATTTCGTCAATGATATATTATCTGAAAATAATCTTTATTTTAATATAAGTAATATAACTTCAACTGAACAATATGTTAAATAAAAGAAATCAACTTACTCTCATAAATAAATAATTCAATTACTGCTCTAGCAAGAACATGAAAAGCATGGTGTTCATGGGTTATTTTTGACATATTTTCCCATCTACTTGCCGGTTCTTGACAGGCAAGTCTTAAAAAAGTTTTGCCAAAAACCTTTTGAATGTGAGATTCATGATTGTCTAAAATATTTTTCAACATTTTTGATAGGGGAAAATTGATAAATTTATTTTTTTCATCAATTTGAAGTTTGTGATAACAACATGATACGATTATTAACACTTTGGCTTCATCCATTTTAGAAAATAATTTACATGCATTAACACTCAAATCTGCACAAGCATGTAAGCCTATTAAACAAAAATTATAATTACATTGAGAGTATTTACATATTCTTATGAAGCTTCGAATTTCATCTTCACAGTCTTTATTAACTTTTATGTGAATGAATTTCACAGAGCCAATTGATTGAGAATATAATTCAGTTTGTCGTTTTTTAGCTATCTTTACATTATTTTCATTTGATTCTAAACCAATCACTGTATAATCATATAAATAATTTAATAATTGACAAATATAGCCCTAAAAAATAGTTGAATAATTGTAAAAAACATCAATTACTATTTGCATGAATTTCGTTTTAATGATAAAATTTATTCTGACGAAAAACTTACTAAACCAGCTCCAAAATCAACGATGATTCGAATACCATTTGTGACACATTTCTGGTGAACAACTTGAGAGAGGTAAAAGATCTCATGTTGTTTTTTTAGACTTAATCCACTAAGAAAAGACTTTGGAAGTTGAGGATTGGATAATTGTGGGGCTGGTGGTAGTTTATTTAATTTTTTACATTTTTTTATAAATAATTCAAGTGTTTTTGGCCAATTATCTTTCATTAATTTTCCATTGGCAAAATCATTTAATTCCTCAGTAGATAAATTTTTTAATGCTTCTAACCAATCTTGAGGGAATGATTTGAAATAATTATGTATTAGAATTTCTATTACTGGGTGTTGAAAAAGCCATTGAAATTCATGAAATAAGTGGATTGATTCTTGAAAATATACGTTGGCTTCTTCCAAAGTACATTTCATGTTTGTGAATTCTAAATTTAATCTGAAATTACATGAATTAGAAATTATTTGACCACAAATTTCTATGTAAATTATTCTCAATTTATTTAAGTTACAATGTACTCCAAAAGTTAGTTGATATAAACTATGATTCATTTTAGAAAAGACTGTTATTAATAGTATTTCTCGATTCGACATAAACAATAGTTTTTATTTAAACTCACGTTGCTCTAGAATACCGTATAAGTAAGATAGAGAGAATAGCTGAGAATTTTTCCTTTAATATTTTAACTAACGTTTAGAGAGCACTGTAAATATTTGTAATAAATTAAATGAAAAATGATCGAATTAGATTTAAGATCGAATTTTTATATTGTTTAATAATAATTATTAATATAAAAAATTCATTTTAATAGAGAAATTAACTTCAACTACTACAACACTGTCATTAGTTTGGATTTTGCAAATTATTAAGAATTATTTTATAAATTTTATAATGTCAATCTGAAAAAAGTACGAAATGTTATTTTCATTGACTATCTTCGCTTTCATTTGTCCAAACTTCCCAATTTTCTGATTTCCTTTCTAATAATTCTGAGTTTGCTGGGCCAATTATTGCTCGACCAACTTTAACTCCATCAATTCCAGGCCTCAAATACTTTTCTGCGACTCTCAATACATCTTCTTTCGTCACATTTTTCAACCTAATTCTCTGCATTTGAATATCATCATCTGTTAATCCTGTAATGAACTTAGTCATTCCTCGATCTCCAGGTGCAATGGGTGCATCAATGTTTTGGAAAACCCCTAATTTAGATTCATCTAAGTCTGTATGTTTGAAGTGAAAGCTCTTTAAAAAATCGTAAGTTTTATCAAAGGTGTCAAATGTCTTAGTACTGTTAGGATCTCGAAATGAAAAAAATGTAAAAACTCCTTCAGTTGAAATAGTCGCACCAGATCCATATGCACCTTCTTTCTCACGAACTTCTTTCAACAAATAAACTGAACTTATTAATTTAGCTAAGATTCGCAAGCAAGCATGATCGGGATGGCTGTAAGGAACAGTTAATATTGTTTTTGAAGTGTAATTTGTATTATAAGGCATAACATGATGAACTCCTTTTTCAACATTACTCTTTTGATTATTTTGCGTCAACTTAACTGTCTCAACATTTGGTATCCCATCAATAGATTGATAAAATTCATGTAATCCTTTTAAAATAATGTTTTTTTCATTTGATGTATTAATTGCAGTACGAAAATGTTCTTTGTTTAGTACATGTTGACTTATGGCTTTAATTTTTTCCAATACTGTTACAAATTCTTTGTTTTGTACCATTCTTTTCATCCTTCCAACAAATTCTAGACCTGAAATACTCTCTTTATATTTAGCAATCGGAGATATTAGACTTGCTGCACTATTCATTACATAAATATGCCCCGAATCAGCTATTCCCTGTGATAAGTCAGCAGCAAGAATTTTTATTAAAGTTTCAAAACGTGTAGCATCTTCCAAATTAACTTCGTTAAATAATTCAATCCACAATTTCCACATGTCATCAGTGTTTTTATCTAGACAATATGAACTTATTAAAATACCTTCTTCATAACTTGTTAAACTGTCGATTTTTTCGGCTATATGACTTGAAAAATGAAGTCCACCAGTTTTCAGTTGGCATAATCTGTCAAAGCTTCGATAATCATGACTATTAGTTCCCATTTTAGAAATGACATTGTTAAAAATGGGAACTAAAAGTTTAAGATCATCAGAAAGATCACAAGTATTGAGAATCCCACGATAATACGAGACTCCATTAGTTGGTTGAATTGATATTTGAATTGGAACTTCACAGACTTTAATATTTTCTGTAGCATACCGATTAACATCTTTTTTCAAATCTTCCATTTTTAATGTGGGTAAAATATTTAAATTTTCTTCTTTCTCTTGATCCTTCCTCAAAATCAATCCATTATTATAAATTTGATCTAATTCTTTACTGGAAAATTCTTTCAATTTACTTTGTAACAACTTTTCTTCAGCTGTTTTTAGCTTCGATTCATACTCATCATCAGGTGACATTGTTAAAACTAATTGATGCTGGTTATTTTTCAGATATTTTTCAACGAGTTTATTAAGATACGTGGAATCTTGTTGCAACTGCATTCTAAAATTTTCGATAGCTTTATTTATTCTCATTGACTCAATCAAATTTCCATCATGGTTCCACAAAGAAGTAAGATTGAACAGAAGGTTCATGCCAAAGTTTGATACTTGATGCTTAACTCTAATCTCTATACCATGGAGAACAGCTTGTACGTGATCTTTTCCAAAACCTTGATCAATTACTCTATTAACAGTTTCATCGAAAACTTGTTCAATCTTCTGAAAATTTTCAGGTTTGACTCCTTGAAGACTGACAATAAATATTGAGTCTCTACATTGGGGATCATAGCCAGTAAATCCACCAAAACCATCAGAGAGACCAGATTCAACTAGACTTTTATAAAATGCAGAATTTGGACCTTTCAAAAGTAACTCCGACAGAATTTTAAGTTCTAAAGTTGTTTGAATATCAGTGATGTCATTACATAGGAATCCAATACCTATAACACTCTGTTTATCAGGATCAGAAGCTAAAGGATCAATTTTACACGTTATATGTTCTCTTCTTGGTACTTTCCATCGAGATTCAGATGGAACGGATGACATTTTAGGATCAATTTTATCACATGTAAAGTAATTATCATTTAAAAATTTTAAATGATTTTCAAAAGGAAAATTTCCATATGAAAAAATTCGTGAATTCGATGGATGATAATATTTTGCATGAAAATCAGTAAGAGCCTTGTGAGTTAATTTAGGAATATCTAAAGGATATCCACCAGAACATACTGAATAAGTATGACTTGGTAGAATCAAATTTAAAAATTTTTCCGTAAAAACCCATTGATTTTCATTAAAAACTCCTTTCATTTCGTTAAATACCACTCCTTTGAATATTATTGAACTTTTTTTGTCATTTAAATCTGCATGTTCCAGTCTCCAGCCTTCCTGACGAAAATCCATTTCTCTTAGGAGTGGCTTAAAGACTGCATCAGCATAGACTGATTGAAGATTGTAAAAGTCTTTGATGTTCTGAGTAGAAAATGGATATATTGTATAATCAGGACCAGTCATAGCATTTAAAAATGTTGCAAGTGATCGACGCAACATTTTCATAAAAGGATCTCGTACTGGATAGCGATTACTTCCACATAAAGTCATGTGTTCGAGAATGTGAGGTAAACCTGTAGAATCCATCGGAGTTGTGCGAAAATTTATAGAAAATACATTATTACTATCATCACGATTTAAATGAAGATATTGGGCACCAGTCGATAAATGTGTTAAACGAATAGCATCTAAAAACATTTCATCAACTCGTGCAATTTCATCGAGAACAAATCCATGAATAAGATCGCCTTTTCTATATTTTTCTGATTCATTATTTTTTGGAGATATTTGAGTGGCATGAGAATGCCTACGTGGAAAGACAAGAAGCGCACACTTGGTCTTGTTAAATTGTCGCAACATTTTATCTTTTTTTGTTATATTTAACCTGAAACAAAAAAAGAACACTTAATTTAACCAACACAAGCTAACGTTCTTATCAATCCTCGTGTAAAATTTGAATGAATTAAAAATTAATTTTATAAGAAATTAAGGTTGTCGTAGTTAAAATTTAAGTAAAATTATAGTATAAATTATGTTTTAATTAACATTTATTGAGTTAATTAATATTTCGTAAAATAAAAGACGATTAAATAAATAATTGTCAATGATTTTAAATGATAAAAATGTAGAATAGTGTCCATTAAACAATATTTATTTTTATATTATATAAAATATTTCATATGAAGATAATTTCATATTTTTGATAAATTTTTCAAATAATATGTTCATAAATGATCACAAAATATGAACTTTCAAAAGCGAATCAATAACATGATGAACACAGTATGTTTAGTAAATAATATAGAGGTTAAGTTTAAAATGTAATTATTAATTTTTTTTACTTACAAGTCTAGAATTGTACTATAATTGTGTGGTGTTAAAATTTATAACTAGTTTATTATTCAATTTAATAAATTTGGAATTAAATAATTAATTAAAATTGAAACACTGACATTTTAAATAAATGTTTGATCATATCAAAAGCATTTTATATTTTTATTCAAAATGAATGAATTTGGAAAAAAAATATAATTTCCTATAAGATTAATAAGTCTAGAGACAATTATTTATATACAGTTGACTTCAGTTATTCTAATACTTTTTGCGCATGTGCAGTCGCCATATTCTCTTTTTACATTTTTGAAAAATTGCTTAGTACACCATCTACAGTATAATTTCTCAAGAAACAACCGTTGAAACCAATACAGAAGAGAGAGTAGAATTTTGTGAGAAAAAGAGAAAAAAAAGGTATTTTTATGATAAAGATAAGAAAGAAGAAAATCAAATATGCCATTGATTGAGCTTACAGTTAACCATTTGTGTAAATCACACGATTTGTGTTTATATTCGTGATCTTAAAAAGTGACACAAAGTGATTAGTTTGTTCGTGTGGTAACAAGAGGCTCCACCGCGCGGTTGAAAGGCGGCCTCCGGGTGGCCCATTGGAATGGAGAATTCGGTGAAAAATAATAGTGAGTTACTTTCTGAAAATGTTCGTATTTAATTCCTGGAAAGAGATAATGTTTATTTTAGTACCAAAAAAATCATAAAAAGAACTATATACTAAGATTCAGAAACTGATAAGTAAAGTGTCTTAATCAATCAAAGAATTAAGCAGTGTTTCTGGTCCAGAATTAACTACTACCACCAGCAGCATCACCAAGAGGGTGAATTCGCAATGCTAACAAGTAGTCCACCAGCTGATAGTGATAAAATGGTTGGGTATAAGCCCATCGTTGTTGTTTGTTTTGTTAGGATTTTCACGTAATTCTAATGTAAAAAATTTTAAAATAAGTATATTAGAGAATTCTAACTAACTTTTGAGCTGGAGCAATTAAGAAACCCCGAGGAGGTGGTGGAGGCGGAGTACGATGAGCTCAGATAATCATGATAGATCAAGAATTGCTCACAAGAGCCAGAGGGCTAGTGAAGAATGTACTTTTGATACAAGGAAAATTAAAAAAGAAAGGAATGAAATTTGTGGAGAAAATGGATCTCATACTAATGCTATCGATGGATTTAATGTTTTAATTAATGACTCAGGGAATGAACAAACATTAAGAGAACGAGCAGGTGCCGGTTCGAGGCTGTCAAATGGTATTCATAACATTGATATTCTTCAAGATATCATTTCAGCTAAATTAACATCAAATGCTCATGGTCCTGGATCTGCAGCTAAAAATGAAAAGATTCGACATATGATTGAAGAGAGTATCAGGTTGGATAAATTTATCGTTTTTTTTTTTGCTATAATAATGTAATGAAGATTAAGTCCTATTTTTAATTAATTTCCTGCTTTAATTTCAATCAGTGACGAGTCAAAATCTCGAGTTCAAGAAATTTATCTTAGCGTGGAGCAACTTACAGTAGAAGAGAAATTATTGTTGTACCTGAAACTGCCTACATCACTACTTAATCCAAGTAGTAGTGTAGATCCGCTGAGGCAACCATTAAATCCTCTTGGTAATCGTTATGAAATCCATCAAACAATTATGTGGATTAAAACACATTTGGAAGAAGATCCTGATGTATCATTACCTAAACAAGAAGTTTACGATGAATATAAGTTAGTCATTTTTTGAACAAGAATGGATAATGATTGATTCTTTAAAAAATATTAATGAATAAATAAAATGTATTTTTTCAGCTTTTTCTGTATGAGCAATTTAATGAAACCATTATCTACTGCAGATTTTGGTAAAGTTATGAAGCAAGTTTACCCACGAGTACGACCACGAAGACTCGGAACTCGTGGGAATTCTCGTTACTGTTATGCAGGAATGAGGAAACGTGTAAAACTTGATACTCCAACATTGCCTGCAATTTTAGGAACAGAGGTAAACATTTTTGTTAAATTTTTGAGTGGAAATTAATTTGAATAATGAACACTTTTAGATTAGATTTCATATTTATGAATTATTTCATTGAGTGTAATTATTTTTTTCATTTTTATTAGGATGAAGACTTTGAAAAATCAGTTACTGAAGAAATGCTTGGAGCAGCATCAACGTTGATTAGAGAATGGGCTGAAAGTACATTAGGACATAAATTTCAATCATTAAGTGCATTAGCTCGTCATTTAGTTCAGAATCTTTGCGTCAACACTCGATCGTTAGCCGCTGTGTGTATTCTTAGCGCTTCAGAAGATTCGTCAACCTCGTCTAATAAAAGTTAGTATTATAAAGCATTAGTTTTTCTTTTACAGGATTTTCTTTGTTTTTCAATTATATTATATTTTAATGTGAGTAATTATGTTATAAATTAGTTTTAGAGACACCCCCAAAATCATCAACGCCAATTGGGGGAAAATCAGGAAAATCAAGAGAAGTGCAATTGCAATTACAAAAAAAACTCCAACAACGAGAAAATAGTCGTGATCAAAAACATCGACAGACTGACTCAATTCAAAATCACAATAAGGATAAAAGTATAGAAACACGAAATTCAATAGGAAAAATATGTAAGAAAACTAAATCAAATCAATATCCGCCAACAAATTCGACGCCAAATTTAATAATAAAATCAACATCAACTGTAAATCGGTCTAAAAAACTGTCGCGGTCTGCAAGTCAGGCTTGTACGGTATCACCACAATTAAACTGTGATAATACATCAATACGAGCACTAGAAGAGCCGCTAAATGGTTCATGTCTTAGATCATGTACCCCTAATAATTCTAGTTCTCCAAGAGAAATTAAAGCTCCAACAAAAACTTCCCGAAAACGAATAAGCCTAGATCAAACACGAATTAGTACGGAAACAAGCCCAGAAAAACAAGCTAAACTATCTGGTGAACAAGAATCTATTAAAACTGAAGATCTTAAAATATCTCTGCCAAAAGTATCAACTATTCAACGACCGGGTAAAATTTTAGTTATATCTCCAAGTAATGTAAAAACTACTAAACTAGAAGTAGTTGATAATTCAACTGTAAAAAATTCTAAATACTATGAAAGTGCTATAGAAACTCAAAAAAATATGAACGGCCGTTCAACGGCTGAAACAAATGTGGCTGTTTCAGTAGATGATTGTAGTGGTTTAACAAAAGACCCATTACGTATTCTTCAAGAAGATCCTACTTTTTTGGATAAAAATGATAAATTATGTACTATTGATACAGATGCTTTAGATGATTATTTAAATGGTGGCAATAATTCACAAGAACCTGAAGAAGAGCTTCTTCAATATTTTCAACAATCGAATTCATCTAGTTCGGATAATGAATCAATTCAGCATGTCATTAGTACAGATACAGATCAAACATCACGATCTGATCAAGTTTCTCAGTTACGATTAATTTTACAGCAGAATCTCAAGGGAACAGTAAGAGTTGAAACTTCAGCAAAAACAAACCAATTGGAAAAAAGTGAGGTACAAAAAGAAGATATTACATTGCCAATTTTATTGAATCATCAAAATCAAACTAGCTCACGCAGACGTGTAAGCTTTGAGACCAGTGTCGTAGAACACGTACAGGAATCTAGTACTCCTGTTCAGACTATTCCACAAAGTCCAAATACACGTCGTCGTACATTCAATTTCACACCTATTTCGCCGAGTCCTCATTCGCCCAGTAATGGGCGCGCTTCCAAACCAAATTCTGCCAATGCTAGTCCTTTTGTTTCACCTCGAAACACTCCTGTTCCACGATCACGAAGTAATGTAGCTGGCGTATGTAGATCAAGAACCAGTCAAAAATCATTATCCCGTTCCACATCATGTATTGCACCTTATACTGGTAAAACTGATATTTTTGTTGTACCTTCAAGTAACAATGAAACACTGAAATCATCACCATCATCATTTGGATGCCCTAAAAATGTTGAAGTTCAAGTTAATAATAATATTGGAACACTTAGTATGGGACCAGATAAATTAACTTCACTTCTTAATGATATAAATCCACAGAAACAATTGTTGATTAATTATCCAAGTCAAGAAAATCTTCTGGAAATAAAAAATGTTCATAGACGAAGTAAACCTGCAGATCAAGAAATAAGTGAATTACTAAATAGTGTAAAACCATTAAGTAATGAATTATATCGGTCGCAATCAGTTCCACTTCATCGAATGGTAAACCCAGCACTTATGTCACCAATATCAACTGGAACATTTCAAAGTTATCATAGTGTCAATCCATCTACAAGTAGTTCACTTGTTCATACTCCAGTACCAAGTGAATTCGATGATTTTGGATCTATTGGTCAACCCGATAATTATCTTTTAGATGATACTAATTTTATGAATAACGATCAACAGTTTCTCATGGAAGAAAAAGAGATATCATCAGAAAATATTACCAAAATCTTGAATTTTTTAGGCGGAGAAGATGGAAAAGTTTCAAATATATTACCTGAGCAATCTGATGAAATTATAAATGATACTGATTTGATTCTCGATTCAATTCCAAACTCAAACTTGAATGTACAAGAAACAATGTTGGATCCATCAACATTAAATCCAACTGTCGATGCTTTTCAAAAAATAATTCAATCAAGGTCGTATCCAAATACTCCACTGCCTCCAGCAATGTCTTATCCATCAGCTTTTACGGAAGACAGTAATGGATCTAGATCTTATCCTTCCACTCCATTGCATACCATTCAACCTCAAGAAGTTTATCAAGAAACTAATGAACCCATGTTATCTAGCCCAACTTTAAATTCATTGAATTTACAAGGAGAACCAGCTAATGCTGATTCAACTGATACTGTTTGTAGAAATGTTTCGAATTTGTTAGAGTCTAATTTTCTTGAAGATGTCGAAGTCGAAGATAATTTAAATTCTTTGAGTAATTTCGACGGGTTACAAGATGTCGATTCATTAACTCCTTTATTTAACGAAGTATCTGAGACCAATCAATAATCGAATTTAAGTGCTCAGTTAATGGAATGATCAATTCAGTGAATAATAAATTAGTGGTACATCCACTTTCTTGTTAGGCTGTGGCGATAGTTGATCCTTTTGCTTCATTCTATTTATTAGTAAATAAATAAAATGAACAAAATGGTGAATATAAATAAAAAAAGAAAAAAATATAGACAACAAAAAATGTGATAATTTCTCATTAAAGACTGTACACAAGTAGTACAGGTTGTTTTATAAAAATGACAGCACTGCCACATAAATTTTTCTTTTTTTTTTTAATGTGGCCAAAGGCAGTTTCCTCGGCCCGGATTATTTTTATGAAACGTAAATAAAATAATTCAACGTGATACAAAAATAATTATTAAATTATCCAGTTTACACATGCATCGTGTAGAAATAATTTAAGAACTAAGTATTTCGGTCACGATCATTTCGTGATTTTATTAATAAAACTCTTTTTCATGCTAAAAAAAACAAATAACTAAATACAACAAAGGCACGATAAAAAACGATAAATCGATATGTAGATGTGATGATTCGAAATTCTTAAAAATTTTTTTTTCCACGAAAATTAGGTTTTAATTAAGATCTGATTTAAATAACATTTATTTAATTAAATTTAAGATGAATAAATTGAGATATTAGTCATGGATTAATTATATTGAAATACGATAAAAATAAAATAAATTACCAATGGCAAGATTTTATGAAAAAAATTATGAAAGAAAATATATAAAAAATGAAATGTTAAAAATTATAACATTATGATGATTGATTGAAATGAATAGGGCATTTATCGTAAGTAATTAAATAATTAAGTAATATTGTTTGTACAAATTATTTGATAAAACTTTTTTCTCTCTATTTTTATCTTTCCTTATAATTACTTTTTTCGCGATAGTTTTTAAAAAGTAAACGAATAAATAAAATATGTAGTAATATAAATTTTTAATTTGTAAAAATTTAATTAAATTTTATTATTGATTTTATTACGGTCAAAATTATATTAAAATATCTTTTCTATAAGAAAAAAAATAAAATTATAAAAAACATTTTAATTGAGTTGTTGTAATTTTAATTAAAGCATGAATTCGGACTATTGTTACTATTAAAAAATTTTATCATGTATTTTTTCTAAATCAAATTTTTGATGTATAATATTTTCTATTTATGTTAAATACGTTAAATTTATATTTTTTAAATGTGCATGATATTAACATTGAATTTGAAATATTTCAATAAACAACCGAAATAGTATTAGAAATAAAATTCGTTTTTATTATTTAATTAATACAAAAGCATTTTTTTCAGAATTTTATTATATATTAGTCATTCATTTTGGGTGAAAACATCTCAAAAAATATTATGACAAATAATAAACACTCATTGTGTTTCTTTTATTTATTTTTTATTTATTAATATTCTAATTCTTAAATTAAAAACACAGCAAACAATAATTTAATATAGGAAAGAGAAAAATTGATGCGTAAAAAAATCCAAAACCACGCACAAATATTTAACTATTAACTGATAAATATAATTACGAACATAACTTAATCATATAATCGGGATTCGTCGTATAAAATAGCGTATTATGTATAAACGAACAAAGAAAAGAAATTAAAAAAATGAAATGTGTCAGTAGATAAAATAATCATAAATGCTACCTAAAATTAAATCGCAAAATTTTGTTAATATCATTATCATATTAATTAATACCTTTGTACATCAATACTTAAAAGTAATACCAATTCATTAATCGAGCTTATCTAAGTAGATAACTATATTACATTTATAAAGTATAGTAAGAACATTGCATAAAGTCATTTATCAATTAAATATGGATAAAAAATAATTAATCAGAACATTTTAAATTGTTTCCAGAGATTTTTTTATTTATTACGTGTTAATTAATATTCTTAATAATGAAACTACTGATATTTTTATTAATACCTCGCCAAATAATAATTTAAATAATAAATAATTGACAATATTGCGATTTGATCGACGGTTAACAACAATAATCCTTCAATAAAATCAAGTTGAAACTTATTAATCTCCGTAGTAATTGTGTTGTATGATATAGAAAAAAATCAATAGAAATGGTTTTGTTTGTTAATCAACATTAGAACGCAACAGATATATAAGATGAATATCGGACGATATAAAACAAATTTTAACAGAGTAGTTAATAAAATGAGAAAATCAGTTTTTCTCTTATTCCAAATAAAGAGTTTTACTGAATACTTAAATGAATATTAATTGAATAAGAAAATATACAGCCAAGGATAGAGATAAAAACATTTTTTAATTTGAAGACTAACGAATAAATTTTTAGTCTAATTTAATTTTTCTATTGAATTTTTCATGTATCTCCGAATCCCGATAATTGTATATTTGTAGATTTTATATGTGAAATGTTTTTTTGTTATTTAACTTTTAAAGATATTTCATGTGCAAAAAAAGTGTTACACTTTTTGAAACATTTATTACTGGATATTAAAAGAAAAAAATATTGCTTCAATTAAGATCCATTTCCCAATTGCATTATTATTTATAATTATATTATTATTTAGTAAACTGTGATATTTGTGCGAGTGCTTATGTAATACGTATTGCATATGTGCATGTACTTTCTTACCTGATCCACTTTCCATTTCGAAAATATTTGGATGTTAATAAAAAATTCTTCGGCTAAAATTTTTACTCGTCTTTAAGTTATTTTGGTCATCATTTATTTTGTCATTATTTTGTTGAGCCGAGTTCATAGTTTTTTTTTGAAATTATTATAGTGTAAACTAATTTTGACAAAAAAAATGAAATGTTTTAAAAATTATAAATAGTTTGCAATTATCATCGATTTCATATACTTTTAATTATAAAATGTTACTTTTGATATTTTCATATATAATCGTCGCTGAAAAAAATTAATTTAATAATTATAAGTAGGGAATATATAAAGTATAAGACATAAATAATAAAATATATACATATAATTTTGTATAATTTATAATCACTGTATAATGATAAAATAAAATGTTAACAATGTATGGGCTACAAAATTAATTTTTCCCATTTACTATTTTTTTATTTATGTCATTGATTGTTGAAAAAATACCTGACACCCTTAAGGTATTATACATGAGTATTGAATAATGTTCTAATGGACAAGTTTACAGTATTAAAAAAATACCAACGAGTAAAATTGTTAAGTTGGAAGATAAAATCATTTATTTTATTCATTCATATTGACAATGAAATTTATCAGCATAAAGAAATATATTACAAATTTTAAACTATATTCATTATAATCACTGTTAAACGATCATTTTTGAAGAAGCGAGATTTTACTGAAGTCATTGTTAGCTATTTAGGGGAATCTATTAATATTATTTGTCTTGAATAGTACAGAAAATCTTTGAGAATAACTACAAAAATTGAATTTTTTTTTAAATTTTGAAAAAAAAAATTATTCTGAACTTTGTTTTTATTATTAAAAAAAAAGATTTTTTTGAATATTTGGATTGTTCGGTAAATTAACACATATAATAAAAATTACAAATATTTTCATCAAAATCAGAGAAACAAGAAATACCTTAAGTCACAGCTCACAAAAAATGATTATGATAACGTGGAAATGATTTTATATTTATTACTTTTTACTAATTCTTTTAACTGTTGCTGAAAACTCATTTCTTTTTGTTAAAAGTTATTTTGCTATATAATTTGTTTTTTGCATTTCATGATGTTTTATATTTTATACCACAATGTAAGTCATTATTTAAGCACTTCAGTCTTTATTATTTAGAAACAATCTTACATAACATTCGTTGGTATATCTATAATAGGCGATCTTTTATCACTAATAGATTCAACTTTTTTATCACTTAAAATGGTTTTTACTTCATCTACGTCCAGGGTTTCATATTTTAATAATGCTTCGGCAAGAAGCTTGTGTTCTTTAGAATGAGTTTTTAAAATTGTTTTTGCTCGTTCAAATGCTTCCTGAAATTTAAATTGTTATTAGAATAATAAACAAATAATTGAATCACTACATATTAAACAAAAATTTTCATTACTTGAAGAAGACGTTTAATTTCGGCATCGATAAGTTCTGTAGTAGAAGGACTATATTGTAAGCTTTCTTCTCTACTTGATCTTGTATCTGATCTGAATCCGACTTTTTCTGACATACCGTAAGTTTTAACCATTGCTTCGGCGATTTCAGTAGCTTTTTGAAAATCATTAGCAGCTCCAACAGTGACTTTATCAGGTCCGAAAATTATTTCTTCAGCAGCTCGACCTCCAAGCAGAGAATCTAATAAGGCTAGAAGCTGTGCTTTTGTTTGATGATGGTGATCTTTTTTCGGCAAATAAGTAGTGTGTCCAAAACTTCCAGCTCGTGGAATAATTGTGACTTTAGACAGATGCATAGAAGTTTCTTTAGAAAAATAAGTTACTAATGCGTGTCCTGCTTCATGATAAGCAGTAATGCGATTTTCTTCACTGTCTGGTATTCGACCTCTAAGTTCTGGTCCCATTATAATTTTTTCTCGTGCAGCATCCAAGCATTCCATGTTAACATATTCAGCTCCATTAATTGCTGCACGAAGAGCTGCTTGATTTACCATTGCTTCAATGTCTGCCCCGGTAAAACCTGCTGTTTTTCGTGCTAAACTTTCTATATCTAAATTTTTGGCTAATATTTTAGATAAATAAAGTTGTAAAATTTCTTTTCGTCCTTTTAGGTCTGGTTTATGAACAAAAACTTCAACATCAAAACGCCCCGGACGTCTTAATGCTTGATCTAAATCATCACGACGATTTGTCGCACCCAAAACAATTACACCTTCATTTGAATGAAATCCATCCATTTCCGACAATAACTGATTAACCGTTTGATTAGCATAAGGATGAATAAGTGATGTTGTACGCTTACTTCCAACCGAATCAATTTCATCAATAAAAACTACGCAAGGAGCACGTTCTTTTGCCGCTTTGAATAAATCACGAACTCTTCGAGCTCCTTGACCCACAAGAACTTCATCAAATTCTGGTCCAGCAGCATGGAAAAATGGTACTCGAGCTTCTCCTGCTACCGCACGAGCTAAAAGGGTTTTTCCAGTTCCAGGAGGACCCACTAGTAAAACTCCTTTTGGTAATTTTCCACCGAGAGCACAAAATTTATCGGGATTTTTTAAAAATTCTACAACATCTTTTAGTTCTTGTTTAGCTTCATCAACTCCTTTTACATCATCAAAGGTCACATGAATATCTTCAGGATCTATTGCTGAATGATTTGCCAATGGAATTCTGAACATACCTCCATTTAAATTAGCTAAATTGCAAAAAATTTATAATTATTAATAAGATATTTATCATATATTAATAGTGAATAGACAATGTCAATTATGATTTCATTGCGTTACTTGTTAACAATAAATCAAACTATTTTCAAAAAAATTTAACATTACTACTCATTGTAACATTATTTTTAAAATGACTCATTAAAAAAAGTGATCTAAATCATCAGAATTTTGTAAGTGAAAAGCAAGAAAAATTACTCATAGTTTATCAGAAATAATGACTCCCTGCATTATAATACAATAAGAATTGATTAGAAGATTAATTCAATTAAAATGAGCATAGTTAATAATGCGATACTAACATCTATACACACCCAGAATTATAATGATGACTGAGATTGTACCAAGAGTAAGTGCTAATTGTATTAAAGAACGAAACCATTTATAAACACGAGATGTTTTGCGATCATGACCTGCAATGTAACCTTCCGCAAAAGCTACTTTGACTCGTTGCTTATCCGTTTCTGAAAGTTCAGTATCATTAAAAAGATTTTTCAAGGATCCTACGTCCATTCGGTCGAGAAGTATTTTCGGTTTTTCTTCCTGTCAATAAAATTAATGAACTAATTAATAAGTAAATATGTAAAAATATATTTAATCTTTCGATTTAATTCACTGATAACTTTTATCAATATCAATTAATGGAAAATATTCTTTAATAAGTTGTAAAAATCAATCATATATTAAATAAAGAATGTTTTAATTAAATGGATTTAATTGAAATGGTTAATATTTTATTCAATTAGCTAAGTAATCTTACGCTAAATTTTGAAAGTCCAAGCCAAGATTTAAATCGACCACTAAGTGGTGGGTTTCTTTCATTTTCTGCTTTGACATTCCGATTGGTTTTAAATGCTCGCATTGAAATATCACTTGAAGAAATTGGTGCAATAAGTCGGCCTGGACGGGTAGATGAATACATAATATCATTATTTGATGTGTTTAAAATTGTGTACATTGATGATGATGATGAGTAAGGCGAGCAACTAAAAGCTCTTTGATTCTCGAAAAAATTTGATTTAGATACGTAAGACACTCTCCAGTTATTATCATCATAAGTTAATCTATTTAAATTTTTATCAAGTATGTTTAATTTATTTACAATCGAACGAATATTCCTTTTTGTTAATTTTTGCTCCAATATACATAATTCGTTCGTGGTTAAATTTGGCCATGATAATTCAGATAAATTTTTTACTGTCTGAAAAATGGACAAAATTAAGTAAATATATAGTTTTATTGATGAAAAATAGAAATTGATTTACCTCATTAAAACTTTCTTGACATAAAATTTGACAATTTTTTTTTGTCGTTATTTGTCTTTTTTTCAATCGAGTATAATTTGGAGTTTTTGGAGTGCATGCTGACAGCAACTGAGTCAAGTGATACAACACCTATGAAAAAGTTATTTTCATTATAAATAAACTTTACTTATAAACATACCACAATAGATTTTCATATGTAGCGATTATGAATGAATATTGATAATAAAACGTAATTTTGGGGTTATGTCTTTTAAAATGCAAATGAATGGATTAATAATGTATTATAAAAAACATTTGAGAGTTAAATACAAAGCGAAAAAATCAAATCTTGTATCACATTACGAAATTCGAAAAAAGTTATAAATTATAAGAGAATAAAAATCTATTAATAGTAAAAATAGATTGGTGCTTCTTGCATCACTTACTTGATTATGAGATTGTATAGAAATCATTTGCAGAAGAAATTACTTGTCACTTGTAGTAGGTTTGCTTTTACTTTACCAGCAATCGTCAAATTTAAGAGAAGTAATTAAATAGAATTATTTAAAAGAATTTAATTAAATTTCTTGAAAAGTGCAAACAAAACTTGTAAAATTCTTATAATATGATTGGTCTGAAATGATGATTACACATCAACATGTTTCGTGGTACTGATTGCTCTTTATATCCTAGCGGAAATGGAAAGAGACTATCGATTTAAAAAAAAAAGTATTCAATAAAATAAACAAATAGAAGAAATTATTTTTTGATTAATATAATCATCATAAACACTACAAACTGCATACAATAATTTTTGGTAGAAAAGTAAACTGATAGATATTTCAAACAATTTATAAATCAGAAAAATTTCTTGCTCAAACGGTTTGAAATTATTTGTTCTTTTAGATTTCCCGCAGTTTTACCAAATCGATAGTTAATTCGATCTATCGTATGATTAATAAAAAAAAAAAATAAAATACATATGTATATACACAAAGAAAATTTTGAATACAAAAAATAAATTTTTTATTTTCAAAAAAATAATTACATTTTTTGAATATAAAATATTATGTATCTATTGTTTGATTTTATTTAAAAACTAAAAATACTAAATTAATCGATTATCATTTAACTTCAGTCTGTAGATATATCTCCCAACGTGTGTGCCGGTTTACACAATTTCGTGGTTAATTTCATATTTTTTCAATAATTAATCGTTATTCATAAGTGTTCATTTGTTTAATTATTAAAAAATTTTTATTAACATGGCTCAAAGTAAGTTGAACGATTTGGCAGGAAAATTTAGTAAGAATGGACCAGGAGGTTTAGGAACAGGGATTAAACTCTTAGCTGTGGCCGGCGCTGCGGCCTATGGGCTTTCTCAATCTATGTTCACAGGTTATTATCATAATTATATTTATTATGGATTAATTTGATTGTTCATTTATTACAAGATCTAATATTATTGTTACTATTTTTAATTCAATCAATATTTTTCATCTATACCAAAGATGACTGAAAATATTAACGTTTTTCATATCAATATATTATTCTTTATGCATGCTAATGTTAAACTTTGTAGTTGAAGGAGGACACAGAGCCATAATATTTTCACGACTCGGTGGAATTCAAAAAGATATTTTTACGGAAGGACTACATTTCCGAATTCCTTGGTTTCAATATCCTATAATTTATGACATTAGAAGTCGTCCCAGAAAGATTTCATCACCCACAGGATCAAAGGATCTTCAAATGGTCAATATCTCTCTCAGAGTTCTTTCAAGACCAGATGCATTTCAACTTCCTACAATGTATCGACAACTTGGACTCGATTATGATGAAAAAGTAAAAATAACATAACACAATGAAAATTTTTTCAACAATAAAACTAACTATACGATGGTTTCCAGGTTCTTCCTAGCATTTGTAATGAAGTTCTGAAATCAGTTGTTGCAAAATTTAATGCTTCACAATTAATAACAATGCGACAACAAGTTTCAATGTTAGTACGAAAAGAATTGACGGAACGAGCTAAAGATTTCAATATTGTCCTAGATGATGTTTCTATTACTGAATTAAGTTTTGGAAAAGAATATACAGCTGCTGTAGAAGCTAAACAAGTTGCACAACAAGAAGCACAACGAGCAGCTTTTGTTGTTGAACGAGCTGTTCAAGAAAAACAACAGAAGATTGTTCAGGCTGAGGGAGAAGCTGAAGCTGCTAAAATGATATCCTTTTTTAAAATATTTCATTATTATTGAGAAATAATTTTTAGTAATTTTCAATCACTTTTAACAATTAATCGATTTGGTGGTTTTGAAAATTCAATAATGTCTATGTTAACCTTAATTTCGTTGCACTTGGGGTTAGCTGTTGGTCAAAATCCCGGATATTTAAAATTACGAAAGTTACGAGCAGCACAAAGTATTGCACGAACGGTAATTATTTACAAATTGTGGTTAACAAATAGTTTTAATAATTTATATTAATAAATTTCATATATTTTGCAGATTGCTAATTCTCAAAACCGTGTTTATCTTAATGGAAATAGCCTAATGTTGAACATTCAGGATCCATCATTCGATGAGTCGACAGAAAAGTTGAAAAGTAAGAAGTAACAGGCGAACTTACGTGGATAAAGTTTAAGTTGGGTGCACTATAAAAATTTCTATAGCTTTCTGACATTAAATTTTGATAAAAGTAGCTTGTACAATCTGTTAATGTCAGGAATCTTTAAAAGTTGGCATTTTATTTGTTAATGATTGTAGATTTCAGCATCAATATTACTAAAACAAAAATTTTGTTATTAGATAGCGATAAATCTATGTGTAATTTATTGTTCCTTTCTCACTTATATATCTACAATGACTTAAATGACTATAAATAACAATTGCAATAAAGTCATAATAATTTTGAATTAAGAATAACGAGGCAACTGTTTAATTCTCGAGTAAAATTAATTTTTTAGGTAATGAGTCAACATCTTGGAATAATTGGACTAAAACTACTAAAAAAACTATAAAGTCAATCAAAATTACGTCGCAGTCTGAACAGGAAAGTGGCAAATATTTTGCGAACACTGGAACTGATGATGGTTCATCATTTTCTGTATTAAATACAGCCTTAAAAGGTGTCAAATTAATATTATCTTAATATTTTTTACAAAACACTAGAACATACAGTTTATTTTATTTATTTGTTAAATTACAAATATATATGAGGCAAAACTTGGCATAATAATCATGAATAATTAAATAGTTGAAATTACAAAAAATCTAGTTAAATATTAGTGTCATAATTTTCCGATATAATAAAACAAGATGTGAAGATTGTTGGTTTCAATGATGAATAGTAAACTTCGACAGGATTTAAAGTTGTTCATTAACTAATAATCTTTAGTTTGTTTATTCTATCTTTTTATCTTTTATTATATAAAAGAAACATTTAACTGAAAATTTTTATAAAATTTTATTTTGTTAAGCAAATAACAAGATCCTGATCGCTCTATTTACATGACAAAAAATTTATAAAATATATGCAAATTTCTAGTGAAATATTTAATACCTATTTGGGATGTTATAGATTATGAAAATATTTTATTAAACAAATAGATAATAATCGGATTATTAATAATCTAGTAATTTGATATCAGAGAGGTCCGTCTTATTTCATTTTATATCTCCTCATACTTTGTGTTCAACTGTAAAAATTCAACATCGATCGTTATATATAGATATATGTACTGTATCTATCTTCGAAACGTGAGTACGACACGCGTTTGTTTTTACTTGTTCCCAAATTTTATTGTTTATTAATTTACGGTATAGTGAAATAAATTTTATTCTATATTGTTTTAAGGTAACTATTTTTAAAAAATTATTTCAGCAATATTTTTTATATTATTTGATCTTTAAATCATTTATTCTTATTTCTAACCTATAATTATTACTCTTAAATATAAAATTAAATAGTATTGTAATGTTAGAAGATTTTTTAAACTCATAAAAAAGGAATTGATAAAAAAAAACTGCAAATAAATAAATATAAAAATTTTTATAACAATAATGATTATTATTTTTATAGAAAAAGAAAAAAAAAGTTCTTCCGGTTGTAATTTTTATTATTAATTTTTATATATATATATATATATATATATATATAAATACTTATATTATAAATAAAAATAATTATAATTTTAAGTAGTTTTTAAAAATTTATTCAAATTATTTTAAACAACAAAATTAATTGATGATGTAATTTATATCTTCATTACAGATGGTTGATAAAAAGACAGTAGAAAACGTTTCTGAAGGGTATGTTAATAGATAAATTTTAAAATAAACCTTATTTTATATAGATATAAATGAACGCTTGATAATAATAATTAATTATTTAATGAATTTTTTAAATTTCACGTGTATTTTATTTTTTTAAATTTTTTGTTCAATCTAACATAGACTTCTTTTATGTAATGAACGTGAAAAGTAATCTAATATCATATCGAGTCATATTGTATAACATAATATTTTCATTCTCTTGTATACATATAATACATGACCTTTTCAATAAAAAAGAGCGTATAGATATACACCAATTGAGTCATTTATTTTCACTAGTTATACTTTGAAACTCAGGTATATTCCGTATACTATCAGAACCAAGTTATGATTTTGGTTTAATTGTTAACTTTTTTGTAGTAATAATTAAAATATTTATTTCTTTTGTATCAAAATGGACACAGTTAAATCTGAATATCACAGTGGTTTTTTAAATGATTATTTATTTGTTCGACAAGAGTAAGATGAAAATAGTTTAACAATAAATAAAAACAAAAGATTAATTAAAAATTAATTTTTCTTACAGGAATGAACTTTCAAAAAAAGCATTAAAAAAACAACAAAAAGAAGCTGAAAAAGCAGCTAAAAAATCTGAACGTAAACAAAAAAATGTAAGCCATTAAACAATACATAGAATTATTAATTATTTTAAAATAATAAATAATTGAATATTTTTTAGGAATCTCAGGATGTCATGAATGAAACAGAGGATGTGTCTATTGGGTTATATGGTCAAACTGGTCTCATTCAAAGTGCATATATTCATGAAAATAGAAAATTTATTGATGTAAAGTATTTAAATACTACATTAGCTAATCAATCAGCGTGGATTCGTGGTCGCTTACATACTAGTCGAGCAAAAGGAAAACAGTGTTTTATAGTTATTCGGCAACACTCTTACACTATCCAAGGCTTAGCATCTGTCAATGAAAAAACAAGCAAACAAATGATCAAATTCATTTCCAAGTATGTTTAATTACCTTTATAAAAAAAATAATTAATTACAAATTTATAAATCAATTTGTTTAATGTTCAATTTAGTATCACAAAGGAATCAATCATTGATGTACAAGTTTTGATCAAAGCTGTTCCTAATCAAATTGAATCTTGTACACAAAAAGATGTAGAGTGTCATATTCAACAAATTTTTGTAGTAAGTGCTGCAAAATCAATGTTGCCATTACAAATTGAAGATGCAGCCAGACCAGAAACTAATGATGATACAGCTCTTAATATTAGAGTTAATCAAGATACACGTTTGGATAATCGTATTTTAGATCTTCGTACACCAGCAAATCAAGCAATATTTCGCATTGAAGCAGGTGTTACTAGATTGTTTCGTGATATCCTCACTAATAAAGGATTCGTTGAGATACATACTCCAAAAATTATTCCTGCTGCTAGTGAAGGTGGTGCTAATGTTTTTACCGTTTCTTACTTTAAAGGATCTGCATATCTTGCACAATCACCACAATTATATAAGCAAATGGCCATCGCAGCTGATTTTGATAAAGTATTTACAGTAGGAGCAGTATTCAGAGCTGAAGACTCTAATACTCACCGACATTTGACGGAATTTGTTGGTCTCGATCTTGAAATGGCCTTTAAATACCATTATCACGAAGTAGTTGATACTATTGGTCAAATGTTTACCGAATTATTCTGTGGACTTCGTGATAATTATGCAGATGAAATTGCAGCTGTCAATCAGCAATATAAGGTTGAACCATTTAAATTTTTAGATCCTCCACTAAAGTTAGAATTTTCACAAGCAATCAAGTTACTTGCGGAAGCGGGTGTTACATTGGGAGAAGAAGATGACTTATCGACTCCAGATGAAAAATTATTAGGGAAAATAGTCAAAGCAAAATATGATACTGATTTTTATATTCTTGATAAATATCCTTTAGCTGTTCGGCCTTTTTACACAATGCCAGATCCAAATAATCCTGTAAGATGAATTTATGGATAGTTTAATTAATATTTTTCACAATTACTTAATAATATTTATTGTCATAGAAAGCTTCAAACTCATATGATATGTTTATGAGAGGAGAAGAGATTATTTCAGGCGCACAAAGAATCCACGATCCAGAATTTTTAACTGAACGTGCTAAACATCATGGAATAGGTAAACAACAAAATAAGTGTAGAATAACAGGTTAATAAATAATATTACATTATTTATTTTTCAGATATTGCTAAGATAAAATCATATATTGATGCATTTAGGTATGGATGTCCACCTCATGCTGGTGGTGGTATTGGATTGGAACGTGTTGTAATGTTATATCTTGGACTTGATAACATTAGAAAAGTGTCAATGTTTCCACGTGATCCAAAACGTATTACACCTTAAGAAATACACATGAGAAAACTATTTAAGCTGTAAGAGTTACTTAACAACTACAATTTCCTATTTAAAACATTATGAATATTTTTTTTTTATGTCTGTTAGACAAAATCTTAATAAAAAAAGTAAAAAATGTCATTGAGTTACATAGAGTTTGAATTTTATTCTGATTCATTCAGGTAAGTTATTGTGATTGGTTTGAAAAGTCAAACAGTTTGGTGTAAAATAAATAAAACTTATGAGATAATTGTAGAAAAATTATTGATAATAATTAATATAATTAATTGGTGAATACGATATAGTTTTTTTTTTTAATTTTACTTAAAAAATGTTTTTAGTAGGTTTTACAGCTGATTGATTTATCGTATATATGTATGTTTTTTTACATAAATAAATTATTTGCAGATACATTATAAAAACGTACTTTTTATTTACAATAAAAAGGATGATTTATATATTTATATACTTTCTTCATTTTTTAAATTTGGACTGGGTAGTTTTTCAGATTTAAATTGTATAATTGCATCACCACCTGGTTTAGATAAAAATTGAACATCAATTATTTTATGTTTTTTTATAATATTTCGAAATTTATCCGACTTATGAGCAAAATCTGTAGCTTCTTTAACAGAAATTTGCTCTAAAATGTATCGTGAGACTTTAATTTTATCCACTTCTTGTGTACCAATCTACAACAAAAAAAATTATTAAATGAATTATTGTGATAGTTGATGAAATTTATCAGATACCTACACGAATATGCAAATTAAGCTTGTAATTCATATCAACTTCTGGCCATCTTTGTTCAAGAACATCTTTTTCTCTATTCATGAATGGATCATTATCTATTAAAAAGTATGGAGCTGAGCAAAATCCACTCCATAATTCTGAAGCAAAACGTGGAGCTATAGGAGCAAGCATGATAATTTGTGTTGCTAAAGTACGTTCAAACTCTGGACTCGATATTAAACATCGTAAAGATATTTTTCTCAAACTATTCGTTAATCCTTGCATTTTAGAGATAGCGACACTCAATTGTTGTGATCCAATCATGTTAAATGTTACACCTTTTATATAATAATTTCTAGAATCATATAGGTATAAGTCATCTTTCTTTATTGATTCTAAATCGTTGATTTTTTCTGGTTCATTTTCTAACACTTTTTGTCGATTTTTTATAAAATGACGAATTGATAACCATAAACGTTGTTGCCAATTGAAAATTCCCTGAAAAGCTAAAATTTTTTTAAATATATTTAATTAATAAAATTTCATTCAAATTATTTGTTAGTAACTTATAATTTTTACTTTCATCTGTCCAATTTCTAGGCGACGTAGGTGCAAAGTCTGCAAGCATAATGAGTCTGGTAGTATCTGAACCATATTCATTAAACATATTTATTGGATCAGTTCCGTTATATTTAGATTTTGACATTTTTTCCCAGGCAACTACAACTGGATTGTTTGTTTTTTTTTCAACAAAATTTGTTCCACATTGTTCGATTTCATTGAGTTTTAAATATTTTCCACTACTTTTCACACGAAAACTTTTTCCCATTACCATTCCTTGGACTAACAGCTGAATAAATGGTTCTCGTGTTGGCAAAAGACCTTCAGAGTGAAGAAAGTGATTAATAAATCGTGCATAATATAAATGAAGAGCTGCGTGCTCTTTTCCACCTATATATAAATCTACAGGTAAATACTTTGCAGCTTTTTTTTTAGAGAACATTTCTTTGGTATTATTTGAATCAATATATCTCATGAAATACCATGAACTGTCAACAAATGTATCCATTGTATCAGCCTCTCTAACTGCTTCACTATTACATTTAGGACATGAAGTTTTTAACCATTCAAGTGCTTCTCGAAGATTAGGAATTTTAGAATTGCAATTAATTTGTTTAGGTAATAGTACAGGTAATTGATCTCTTGGAACTGGAATTGTACCACAGTTTTCACAATGTATTATAGGAATAGGAGTTCCCCAATATCTTTGGCGAGAAATTAACCAATCTTTTAATGTTGAACTGACAGGAAATCCACCAATACCTTTCATTTGAGCTTCTTTCATCACTTGGAAACGTTTTTTATTCATTTTTTTTTCATCATTAATATAATCTACATAATCAAAATGAATATTGTTCGATTTACAAAATTCAGCATCACTTTCAGAAATGCAAGGAATCCCTAAATAATTATCACGAAGTCTTGAAAATTCAATAGAATTTATATAATAGATGGGTAATTTTTTATTATTAAATGGATTGATAACTTGAGCATTTAAATACTGACTGGAAATTTCATTAAAATCTTTTATTTTTGATGTAGCTAGAAAGTTAGATTTTGAAACAGCTACGAATTTTGCATGTTCTATCAATTCCGGTCTATCAGTCCAGAGATTAAGAGTTTGCGGTTTTTCAGGAAGATCACTAATTAGTTGAAATTCAATTGATATTCCATTACATTCACCAATCCAGTGTTTTTGAATTTTAATTACATCTCGCCATTCTTGAAGAAGAGGGTCATTGAGACCATCTAGAAGAGATTTTGCAAAAGCAGTAGTTTTAATAAACCATTGTTTAAATAATTTTTTTTCTACTTTAGCATGTGATCTCCAAGATTTTCCATTTTGATCGACCTGTTCATCAGCCAAAACTGTTTTGTCGATTGGATCCCAATTTACGAAAGCTTCTTTTTGATATGCTAATCTACGATCATAAAGTTTTAGGAATAATTCTTGAGTCCACCGATAATAGCTTGGATCACAAGTTGTTAATTCTCGATCCCAATCGAAATCACAACCCATTAAATGCAATTGATTTTTCATGTTGGAGATATTCTTAGCTGTCCACTCGTGTGGATCAATATTTCGTTCTAGAGCAGCATTTTCAGCTGGTAAACCAAAAGCATCCCAACCCATAGGGTGGATAACATTTTTTCCATGCATTCTATGGAATCTTGATACAGCATCACTTATTGCATACACCCTTACGTGACCCATGTGTAGAGATCCTGATGGATATGGAAACATTGATAGAACATAATATTTATTTTCATTGTTTGTTGAATTATCTTCAACTCTTTTCATAAATATTTTGTCTTTCCAATAATCTTCAATTTTAAGTCTAATATCATTATCAATATTTAAATCCTAAAAAATTATTAAATAAAATGAATTTATTGATCAATTAAAATAATTATAACCTAAAAAATTATATACCCATAATCCTAAACCACTGGAAGCATGACGAATGATATGTTGAAAAATACGACAGTTCCAAATAAGTAATGTCGATTTGGAATAATTAAATGTAATATACTTCATATTATTTGAGTAAATTGTTCAGATTTATTTCAAATACGTTCAAAGACACAACATTTTGTGGCGATATTGAGCTCAATGCGCCAATATACTTTGTTTTCTATCTTACCTCTTTGAATTACATTCATTATTATAGAATCATACTTATTAGTAGTGAGGAGCTTGTATATAATCTGAATATTAAAATTTATCTCAAAATAATTTCTGAGAAAGTATCATTTTTAATAATACTATTTATGTAACCATAAAAGATTAATCCCAGCTGTTTCATTCTGTATCGAAAGTTTTTATTATATAGATATATTTAAATTACCCCGCCAAAATACTTGAGTCAAAAACTTTTCCGTTCGTTTTGTACAAATCCATAAAATTTGATTAAATAATGATTATGAATTGATTGGATATATTCAAAAATGAATATTATTATTTAATGTATAAATAAATTTTCCATCAGAGTAAAAATATATGTATAACAAGTTTAAACTTTTTTTGATTATTCAGTATTAATTCCGTTTTGAAAAAATTTCTGTCCTTTTCCGCTGTGCGCTGTATAAACAAGCTGGTAAGAGTTCAATTGTTAAAAATTAATCCTCTTTTATAAGAACAATCTAAAACATTTATGAATAAAAATATTGCTTTTATGCTTATATGTAAATCCATTATAATATGTGAACTCACATATTAAAATATAATGTTTTAAGTAAGAATTTTATTATAACCTTAGTGACACTTGACAGAGGTTAGGTACTTCATCTTGTTGATTAAACAAAAATTAAATTATTTATTTGAGTTAAATAAGAAAATTTTCAATGTTTACTGACTTCATATTTTAAAGCAGTTCATCATCATTAACTGACAAACATGTAATAGAATAAAATTTTATTTCTCTTCAGCTTCAAGATGGGTAAGCGAAATAATATGATCCCAAATGGACACTTCCACAAGGATTGGCAAAGATTTGTTAAAACTTGGTTCAATCAACCTGCTCGAAAACTCAGAAGAAAGCAAAAACGTGTTATGAAAGCTCGGGCTCTGGCTCCTAGGTGAGTGGTTTGTTTACTAAGTGTTTATTAAAGTTTTGTAACAGTATATAAAAATGTCAAAAATAGATAAATGACAAGAATGTTTTTTGTGTTTTTTAGTGTGATTCTTTACTAAGAATACAACTGTTAATTAATATTCTTAAAATTATGAAAATGACATTTTTGGTATCACTTTAAATGTATATTTTCCAGGCCTGTAAACCGTATTAGGCCAGTAGTACACTGTCCAACATTCCGGTATCATACAAAAGTTCGTGCAGGTCGTGGTTTTACTTTAGAAGAATTAAAAGCTGCCGGATTTAATAAAAATTATGCCAGAACTATCGGTATTCCTGTAGATCCTAGAAGACGTAATAAATCAGTGGAGTCTCTTCAAGTAAATGCACAAAGATTGAAGGAATATCGAGCAAAACTAATCCTCTTTCCAATTAATGAAAAGAAGGTTTGTTTAATGTTTCAATCAATAAATTAAATTAAAAAATTACCTTTTTACTACTAAATTTTTTATACTATTTACAGCTAAGAAAAGGTGATGCTACCGAAGAAGAACGCAAAGTTGCTACGCAGTTTAAAGGTGACATTATGCCGATTCGCCAGAAAGCTTCACTTAAATCTAAAGCTCGTGTTATTACTGAAGAAGAAAAGAAATTTTCTGCTTATATTACTCTTCGTAAAGCAAGAGCTGATGCAAGATTAGTTGGAATTCGGGCTAAACGTGTTAAAGATGCTGCAGAAAACCCCGATGATGTCACTAAAGTACCTGCAGCTAAAGAAAAGAAAACTAAGAAGTAAACAAAATTCAATTTTAACATTTATTATATAAATAAATAAAACGGTATTTCGTTTACACAAAAATTTTGTCAATTTTTTTAATACTGATAATTAGTTATTATTCTATTTTCAGCGTTACAGTTAATTTTGTACAATAAAGGTTGATGCAAATTTTTTTCAATAGAAATAATTTCAAAATGATTAACTAATTTGAAGAGATTACAATTTTATTAAAAGTTTTAATCAATTATGCAACGACGAAGAAATATCAATAAACTTGAATATGCTATAAATAAGTGCCAGTTAACTTCATACTTCAAATTTTAATATTTTTGGGCGTTAAAATATTAATTTTTTGTAGCAGAACTTGTATTTCCACTTTAATAGGCTGTGTTCATTGTATTATTAATTTGATTTCCTATAAAAGAAAATTGTGATGGAGCTTTAATTTCAAATACCACTAACTTTGTTTTCTGTTACTTCGAAAAACTTTAATAGATTTAAAAAAGAAGATTAATGCCTTTTTTATAGAATAGTTTAGACTACAATAATTAATAATAGTTTTATTACATAACAATATTTTTATTACAAGGTATTTATTACACTACATAATTTTTTTACGAAACTTTGAAGAAACATATTCAAATAAATGTTAAAAAACTTAGTCTTGTAGTTAATTATTATTGGTTTGAATGAAGAGAAAAGTGAACTTTGATTTCGAATAACTCGAGTTCTCAACGGTAAATTGATTTTTTTTCTTTAAAACAAACTTTTTATTTTCTAGTAATCTTTAATTCCAAAGCAGTAAAAAAATTTTTAAGAAAAGTTAAACTCAATCGAAATACCTCCATTCAATGATAGATAAATTAGGCTGTATATGTATTTATGATCGAATTGGATTCATAAATGTTAACAATTATATTCTAAATTGTTTAAAAACTTTAAAACAGTTTGTAAAAATAGTAAGAAATATACATGTTGAAATAGAAATGGAAGTTAATACTATAAAATGTATTTGGATAATTGTTAAAAAATTTTATTAATGAGTTTCTTTTTGTAAATAAACTTATTAATTTTGGAAAAGGTTTACTAATTAAGTCTGTAATAGGTAATTTATCTGCAAGCATGCAAATCACCATAGAACACTGCTTTACCGATAAAACAGTATTCTTTACTACAGACATCTTGTGGTCAGAGTACCAATTAAAAATTCCTGGCGTTACGAAAAAGCCACTTCTGGGTTTCTAGGTAAGACAGTATTCTTTGGTTCGAAAAACGATTGACAATATGGTTGATATGTCGCGCTGGAACTTGCATTAGAGTGAGACACGAGTGTGTCAAAACATAGAACAATGAAGTGAAACTTCTACGTTTAATCCAAATAAAAATTTACGTAGGTAATTGAATATTTTTTATAATAATCTATATAAACTAAGTATTATAAAAAACAACATCAGCATAAAATCATAAATGTGTATCGTAAGTAAATAACGTCACAATGTATTTGACTTGTTAACGTAATGATATCGTTATTATTGTTAAAATATAAATACACGAAAAGGTAGTAAGGCAGCACATAATAATATCATCAAACTTTTTTATAATTAATGACAAACTTTGCTTAGCCATTAAAAAGGACATTGAAATTCCGATTATTTATTCACGTATTCAAGTATTCCTTTATGTTTTTATTACGTAACCTTTACATTTTCACTTTCACATTAGTTCCGAGTTCTTTTTTCTAATTATTACTTTCAAAACAATTTATTTTACATGTTGCATGTGGGATAAAGTAAACACATTATTTTTGTATATTTATTGTAGATAATGTAACTAAAGAATCAGTTTTACAGTTTTATCTTTTCACATTCAAACTGCATTATTGAATTAAATTTTTTTGAAAACATTTTAATGAAATTCACTATTACATATTTTGATTCTTTAAACAATTTCTTACAAAATCAATCTTTTGTGGCTTACTAAAACAAACATCGATGCTCTACAACTTTGATACAAATAATATCTGCTCATTATCTAGACTCAAGTGACAAAAATTATTCATATTTTTATTTTTTTATAAAATGAAACAAAAATCATTAACAGTTTTTGTAATAATAGGGTGAAGATTCACTCTGATGAATATTTAATTGTTATGAGTCATGAATTATTGTTGAGAACTAATTATGATAATATAGATGTTTTTGTAATTCAATGTTGAGCTGTTTCTAAAAAATCATATTTTTATTTTCTTTGTTTTTCACTATAGAAATTAAATAAAATTTTTTTTATTTTTCTTACAGAAAGAATCAATTGGAGATGTCAAATAATGAATTCGAAACCGAGTTGATCAAGAATCTAATAATTGAAAATCATATAATTTTATATATTAGTTGCTACATAGAACGCACATTGGATTGTAAAAAAAATTTATTGTGTTGATAGCGATTTATTTAATATATTAATTAAAAAGTGTTAATAGGAGACACATATTTGGAAACACCCAAAATGTCGACAGAAAATGTTACAACTGCACCAATAAATAATAATAACAATAATATTATAAATAATAATATTATCAATAATAATAATACGACGACCAATAATATTATGAATAGTAATAATAGCAATAATAATAGTCAGAATAGTGCAGTGACAGAAAACCATAGCATAGTAGGGGCAATAGCTCCTAGCTTGATTAATCGAGCAAGAAACAATAATAATAACAACAATCAAAATGCATTGTATCACATGAGGGACAGACTTTTTCATGCTTTGTTTATTAAAGCTGCTTTGGCTTATGCAAGGACATTTCCTAAGCCTGTAAGAAGATTTATAGAATTCATAGTTTTATTGAAGGTAAATTTTAATCATTTAGAAATTTATTTTTTATGCAGGTTTGATTTTTTAGCAGTTTAAATATAGTTCGATGTTGTATTCTTGTTAGCCATTATATTAAACTTATGTTTTAAATTAGAAAAATCAATATAACGTTACGAATAAGAAATGTTTATTATAATTATATTAATATAATCATACATGTTTATTTCAATCTTTTTTAAAACCAAATTCGAATTTTTAGTTTTTTGGAATAGAATAGAATTAAAAATCTCTTTCTTATAAATTATAAAATTCTACTTCGCTTTTATATTATAAAACATATTTTATTATATTAAAATTTAAATGATTGTATAATATCTATACATTACATTTTTCACTGTATTACGTAAAATAATAATTAAGGTTTGAGATTATCATATTCAATCTTGGATTATTTTAGACTACTTTACTTAATAAACTAAAGTTAGTGAAGTAAGTCATTTTATTTGCAACAATTTTATATTCTCATTATTAGTTGTAAATAATATTATTATAATGAGTATTACTGATTTATTGATTATCTTTTTACTGAATGATTTTTTTTTATTGCAGGCAATAATGGCATTTTTTGTGATGGCGTATATACACATAGTATTTTCACGAGCTCCTACCAATTGTTTAGAACACATAAGAAATGATTGGCCTCGAGACGGTATTTTAAGGGTAGAAATCCTAAGAAATGGAGCAGAAGATTATAGCATAGAAAAGAGTTACGCTAAGGAGGAAAAACTGAGACAGGAAAAAGTCGATGATTTAAGTAGTGTTCTTGAAATATTTGGTAGAGATGGGTAAGATTTAGTATTATAGTTAATAATATTATGACAATGAATTTTGTTTATTTTTTTTTTTACATATTTTCTTAGTTTTAATTAGTATTATTACAATAATGAATTTTTTTGCACATTAAATTATTTCGTATCCCATTAGGTTTATTAATATTGAACCATCAGCAGTTGATGAAGGAAGAATTGTTGGTGATACTGATCATGATCGACAAAATATAAAAAATGTCGATGAAAAAATTCAAGTATCGACAATTTCTGAAACTTTAAGTCAAAATTTAGAAATCGCAAATGTTAGCGTAAGTCCGTCATTATCGACTAATATATGGGATGGATTTATAACCGATTCACAAAAAGTAAGATTTACTAAATGTTAAAAAAATTCAAATAAATCAACGAATAATATCGAATATGTTATTATTTAAAGGAATCAGTTCGTTTTATTGAAACCGGATCGGAAAATATTGTTAATCAGACAACAAACTTTGACTTAAATACAGATAAAAGTGTTGTTGAATCTCTTGAAGATCAGGATTCTGAAGTAGAAAAACAAGTGAGGCCAGGTAAAAAGAATATATTTGATGTTTTATTTAATATTTAAAATTTATTTTATTGAATTCTTTTTGTCATTAATTTTTTGTCATAAAATGTTGAACTGAATTTTTTAAGCTTATCAATTAAATAATATGTTTAACTGAAACTGATTTAATGTCATTACATCATTAATAATCATAAAAAAAGTTGAATAGTAAATTAAGCAAACTTAAATAAATGGAATCATAAATAAAAGAGCAGTCAAAGCATATATTATCATAATTTTCTCAGTAACTTCTCTTAAACATGAGTTAGTATTTTCAGAAGATGAATACATTGTCGAGTATTCACTGGAGTACGGCTTTCTACGATTGTCTCCAGCAGTTCGTCAACGACTGAATATTCCTGTGAAAATTGTTACGTTGGATCCGCTCAATGACAAATGTTTCGGTGATGCATTTTCAAGACTCATACTTGATGAATTGCTTGGCTACGATGATCTTCTTATGGCAAGCATAAAGACTTTAGCTGAACATGAAGACAATAAAGGATTTCTACGGTAATATTATAAAAAATATTTAAACTTGTAACTTGTCTATTTGTGTATTTTATATTAGAAAGAAGTTAATATGAAAATTAATTGTCATAAACATTCAATATTAACAAAATAATAAATCATGCAAATTGTAATGAGATAAAATTAAAATATATTATTGCGAATTGTTCGTTACTATGATACAATATTTTTTCTTGTAGTAATGTCGTTACCGGTGAACATTACCGTTTTGTGAGCATGTGGATGGCCCGAACTTCGTATTTGGCTGCATTCTTTATCATGCTTGTATTTGTAAGTAAATTTCAATTATATATATATGTGTAATAATAGTAACAAATCATAATATTATTAAGAGCTGGGTATAACATTTTATGAACTCGGAATAATAATGCATAAATCAGGTAAAAATTCGTTAGAATGTAATACTGAAACAAATTAAATAGTTAAATTCATCAAATAGGGCTTATAATATGTAACAAGAAAGTTGAATAATTGAAAAATTTCATATTATAATTTTTTTTTTAAACAATAAAAAACTTCTTCTAGATTTACGCTACAGAAAGAACATTTAGTGATTACTATTAGAATTTTAACAATAGAGAAAATTTATAAATATTTGATTTTTAAATATAATTAACATTATAAAAAATTAAAATTAAGTAACATGATAAGTGCATTTTCAAAGTTTAATAATAATAATAATCATCATAATAAAGTTTATAATATTCGATTTGAATTCTAATAAATATAAATAAATTTATAACATTATAATCATTATTTATTAATAGAAAATAATAATTAATTATGATTATAATTGAAACATAATATATAAATATGAAAAAATGATCACAATTATCGATGTATAACTAAGGAAAAACTATTTCATATTAGTCACATAATTTAATCGATAATTGTTATTTAATTAAAAATAATTAATTAATGGAATCTAAAAGTAGCTTAATAAATGTCAATAGATGAGAACATACATAAGTAGGAGAAACACAATAACTTTTTAATAAAAGAGGGTTGTTAGAGAAGTAGTGATAAAAATACAGTAGAAATGAAAAGTGAGGGTGAGTTGCAAATTATTAGACATCATCGTGGACGATTGATACGCAGGGGTTTTAATCAAACGGCTTTTTCTGCCATGAATTCACGCAACAACGTTGGAAAGCGTAAGAGGATATGGCAATCAATTCAAACTAACCACCTACCGCCCGTTGCCCAGGAGGTTGGTCATAGCGAGTGAAAGATAGAGAGTGAGGTAAAACCTCGAGCTTGGTACTCTCTCGACCCCGCGCTTGTGACCCTCTGCTGACAGTTGAACCGCTCGTGTATAAATCAACGTTATTAGGGGGCATCATATTCGTCGTTGCAAGCCCCAAGCTGGTCATTTTGTATCAAATTATCGTGAAATATGCGTAAGCTTGACGCCAACGAGCTTGTGAGATGAAAAAAAAAATATTTGGGTGTTTGATATGGTTATTTATTGTATATATAACTCTGGAAAAATTTATTTCACTTTTCTTATACACTTTTCTTTCACATGCATTTAGCGTTTTTTATTTATTTATGAAACTAATGAGAAAACGATTAATTTTAAATAGCAATTAATTTATAAAAATTATGGTATCACAAATATCAGTTAGTTATCTCAATTGCAGTATTTCAATTATTTTATCACTTTGTTAAAATTCCTGTTTTTTTAATATCTGAATTCAAAGTACATATCAGCTTTAAGCTATTAACTATATTTTTTCAATTTTATATTACCGATTGAATTTATAGGAATATTTATCATTTTTATTTCTGACTAATTTTATGTTTGGATGTAAAACGGTAAATTTTTTTGTTATTAATTTTTATTATGCACAATAAATTAATTAAATGATAAAATGTATAATTTATTATTTGATTAATATTGACAAAGTAATTTATTTTTTGATTATTTTAATTTTGATTTGAAAAAATGTCTCTTATGACTGAATAAACTATTTTGCTAAATTATTGCTTTTATAAAAACACCATGGTACTTAGAATTTAAATCTACCATGCTTTTAATAGATAAATTTTATTGATTACTGTAAAGAACATAAAAATTTTCAAATATTTTAATATAAAATCTTTATTCAATATAAAAATAACAATGGTGATAAATAAATATCCAAATCAATATAATATTAGTATTAATACTAAAAAAGAATTCCACCAACTAAACAGTTAAACTGCATTCTATTTCTTGAAAGAAAAAATCTCTTGTTTGTAAACTTGTACAATAAATAATTGTTCGATAAAGAAATTGTTTTCATTTGAAAATAAATTTAAAAAAAATAAATTTATCTTTATAAAAAAAAATTCGTAATAACATTCAATTATTATTATGTGCTTTTTATATAAATATACAAATATAATAGATAAAAACAAACATGTGTATTAGATAAGACATTAAATTTGAACAGTCAATAAAATATTTGTAAACGTAAAATTTTTTCGTCCTGTTATAAAATAATATAAGAAAATTAGTACTTATCCCCTTATAAATTAAAATCAAAACAATTGTTCACTCTTTCCAATATTGGCTAAATTATATCACAAATGATTTTTTCTCCAAATAACAAGTGAATATATTACTAAATAATCAGAAGGCTGGTTTATAGTTGAAACAATAGCTTAATTAAGAAAATTTTATAATTACTTAATTCTATCTAATTAAGTTAGTAAATCTACATTTAGAAGTTTTATTCATAAAAGTTTTTTTTTAGTTTACATAGTTATATAATTTATGATATAAGTATGCATATTGAATATTAATAACAAAAAAGTATTATATTTTATTTTAAATAACAATAATTTAAAATTGCTTGGACATGACATATTTTAATATGGAAATCTAAAAATTTCTATAATCCCAGTTGAGGAAATCCCAGGGGAAATGTTTCTCTTATATGAGTTGTCACGTGTTAGTACACGTGAATTTGCAACTGCCAACACGATATGGTAGTTCATTTATTGTCACTGGTCACGTGGCCGGGACTGTTGTCGAAGGATACGCTATCTTGTCTTACAATTAAAAGTTTTTTTTTCTTTTTTTTTTTGATTCATTGTACAGATCTTTTTGTCGTATTATATACATATAGATGTGATACTCGTTATTTTTTTTACCGAAATACTGTTTGACACTTTTGTAATGTAACTACTCTTTTTTTTATTTTGAATCAATACTATCGATTAACTTTGCGCTATGGAGCAATACTTGACAGCATCACTAAAGAGAGAACGAATCATGTAGTATTTTGATTTCAAAAGCTTTTTTTGCACTTTTTACACTTTTTAAATGTTTCAGTGTTTGTTTTTACGAAAGTTTTGAACATTTAGAGATTTTTATTACAATAGTGATAAGTATGATTGATGATGAAGTACACAAAAAAAACATATTTTATTAGTAATAACAATATTATTATGAAAGTATTTTAAAATGAACAACTCGAATATTGAGTACTAGTGACTGTATCACTACTTGAATTTTTAACCAATATATAATATATTTTAATGAATTAAACTCAGCTACAAATAATTTAGTAAATAATTTACATTTTTAGATATTAATAACAATTTTTCAAACGATTAATTTTTATTAATAAAATAATGAACATATGAAGTGAGAAACGAAAAATCATTCCACCTTCAAAACGTTATATGGGCGAATCATGTTAAATGGAAAAGAATTCCCTCATTACTCGAAATCGTTGGAGTACACGGAGGGGGGGGGTAAGGTTAAGATGTGAAAATGTAGAAAGAGCATTTAAAAAAGGGCACAAAAATTGGAAGTGCAGATTTTGAGATGAAAAAATGGAAATAGTAGCGTACTTTGTATGCTGTGAACATGCAGGAGAACATGGGGGGAAAGACAACGCGGGTTACATAAAGGATTGGAGAACAGTGGAAGATAAAAAATAGTCAAAAAGCTAAAAAGCCAGTAAATACTTAAGAAACTTTGTTCATATTCTAGAGAAATTGAAAAGGCAATCAGGAATAGATTGAGACAGGGGGATGAGAAAAAGAGGTGCAGTGAATTAGAGCTAAGGTGATGAAATCGTACGCATTAAGAATATACAAAATATAAGTAAAATTAGATATTAGGCTTTAAACTTAAGATAAAATGTAAGCGGAAGTATTGTAAAAAACCCTACTGCCCAGGTTGTACAATTAAAAATAATTTATACATTATAATGAACATATGATTCACTTAAAAAGAAAAAAATTAATATGTCTATCGTTGTTGATGAATATTTTCTATTGAATATTTTAATTTTGCATAAAAAAATAAAAAAAAATACTTATTGTAAAATGGCTTGCATTAAATTTGCGGTTAAGTGATTAACGATTATTTGTGAATATTTTACAAGGAAAACTAGAGAAAAATATGATGTTAAAAATATTTATATAGATTGAGTAGATGGATACTTAAGCAAGTCGCTTTGCAAAGAGTTTGTTAGTTGAGAATAACAGATTATCTAATGCAGGGCGACAGGTGCCTGTTAAATTCACGCTGCTTGCAATTCAATTGTATTATTCGTTTCTCCCGGAAACCGATAGCACCGACGAGAGCAGCTTGCAATTTGTCACAAGCAATGCCTGGGTGAAGTTAACGAAATGAAATTGTTCTCCATTTGAAAATCTCACTGAGATTGCTCTACGTAAAATTCCCAGAATTCAATTAAATATATATTTCATCATTAATTTCCTTTATGTATCAAGTATAACCATTGAAGAGAGTTGAACGTTTTCTTAGTTTAATTTATCACAGGATAAATTAAGCAAATTTTAATAATTAATATTATGTTATTGACGATTGTCTAATGCAAGTTATGTCTAATAATTATATTTTAACGAATTTTTGTGAATGTAATTTTGCACTTGAAATTGTTTCAAAATTATTTTTGGATTGACAGAACAGTGATTGTAATTTATTTGAGAATAATAATTTAAAATTTAACTGTAGTTTTTTGTTTCAAGATATTAAAAATTCATTAAAATCAGTTTTATAAATTTAACTTTAGTCCTAAGGTTTTGAAAGTATATTAATGTTAAGATGATATAACAAAATTTTTCGTTAGTTTTCAAATGAATTTATTAATATATTACACGTAGGAAATTTTTCATTTTAATCATAATTAATAAATTTGTTTCAGACGGTATCCATTTCAATGTTGCTTCGGTATTCTCATCATCAGATTTTCGTTTTTATTGGTAAGTAATATGTTCAAGCTATCTGTCAATATGACAAACATGTAAATTTATGGAAAATAACTAGAAATGTGTTTTTTTTTTTATATAAAAATAAAAGGGTATATTTTCTTTAACTTTATTCATATAAAACATTGGCCTGGGTGTAACTAAAGACTAACTTTCTAGTAGAAAAAAATGTAGATACTATATGTTCTATTCATCATCATAAAAATAAATAGTATAATTTATAAATTGCAAAATTCAGCGAGATTATTTTTTTTTTCGTTTTGTAATTTAGCATAAAAGTGACTGGATCGATTCTGTTGAAAACTTAATCAGTTTTAAGTTGTGTGATTATGCGTCGAATGCAATGGGTTCTTTGTTGATATAATTTTTTGATTTCGAGATAATCGAGACGAAAAATACATAACTCCGAAGGCACATACTAACTTAGGCACATATGTGCGTACTCACACACATACAGGCGCCCACCTAAAAACTCTTGTACTCGACTCTAGGGACCTGGAAACATGGAGATATGTCAAAGTGTGGAATTCACAAAATCGGACCCACTACAATGACTTCTTACTAGGAAGTTAATAAATGAAGTACTTGAATGATAACAATAAATTAGTTTAAAGAATCAAATTTACTGATTGCCTTGTAAAATAAGGATAGAGAAAAAAAAATTGTTCAACTCATTACCTGCAATAATTGATAATAAGTACAGAAAAAAATGTCAACATAATTAATCTCGTATATATTCTGCATTTTAATATCATCCAGCATGCGTTAGCTTAATTTTGTGTATTAAATCTTGATAAACTTTTACTTTTTGTTATTTTCAATTTATTACGTATTTTTAAGTAATTGACCTTATACTCTAATTCCTTTTAGTTAAATTAGATGGGTTCATCGGAAAATAGTAAAAGTATAAGTATATTGATAATAAATAACATGTTAAATCGAAATCACGATTGCAATTTCTATTTTATATATTTATAATTTCTAAACGAATATCCCCACTTAATAGGTTACGAGCTCTCAAGTTTGTTCGATTAAGTTGTCTTTGACTCGATGTTTTTCATATCATCTTTGAGCTAGATACGTATATTAACTATTCAGAGAATGATCAACTTAACAGTCGATAGTGAACCTCACGATAAATTGATACGTAGGTGTTTTTTATAATAGTAAAAGATCAAAGTTTTTACTTTGTAGTGATTATTTTCAAAACTTAATATTTTAGAAAATTTATAAATTTACCGAAATGGAATTGATAACATTAGTGATTTTTTCAATTATTATTGGTGCTTTTGGAGCTATATTTCTACTTTACCGACAAATCACATTTTGGAAAAATAAAGGAATACCTTACGTGCCACCAATTCCAATATTTGGCTGTCTTGCGCCAGTACTTTTTCAACGACAATCATTACCAGATTTAGTTAATGAAATTTATTATAAGTTTGAAGATTTTAAATATTATGGATTAATGGATTTCAATACACCAACAATATTAATTAAAGATCCGGAATTGATCAAAGACATTTGTGTAAAGAATTTTGATTACAATCCAAATCATAAAAGTTTCATTGATGAACGATTAGATCCTATTATGTCAAAAAATGTATTTTCTTTACGTGGAGAACGTTGGAGAGAAGTTAGAAGTACTCTTAGTCCATCATTTACTGCGAGTAAAATGAAATTTATGTTCCAATTAGTATCAAAATGTTCTGAAGACTTTGTAAAGTATTTAGTTGATAATCCAGAATTAACTAAATCAATGGATATGAAGGATGCATTTACACGTTATACTAATGATGTAATAGCGACTGCTGCGTTTGGAATAAACGTTAATTCATTAACGGATCGGAATAATGAGTTTTACCTTCGTGGAAAAGATGCTACTAATTTTAAAGGACTTGCCAGATCATTAAAATTTATTTTCGGAAGGATATGTCCTCGTATTATGAGATTACTAGGTTACAAATTTTTATCACCGGAGACAAATAAATTCTTCAGTGACTTGATGACAGAAACTGTCCAGATGAGAAATGAAAAAGGTATTGTAAGGCCAGATATGATTCACTTATTAATGCAAGCTAAAAATAATGAAGCTGGAGTTGACATAAGCATTGATGATATTATTGCCCAAGCTTTTATCTTTTTTTTGGCTGGATTTGAAACATCATCCACTTACATGTGTTTTCTTTTTCATTTATTGGCTTGTCACCAGGATATTCAAGAAAGATTAAGAATAGAAATAAATTTAGCTATTTTAAAAAATGATGGTAAAATAAGCTATGATATTCTTTCGGAAATCAAGTATATGGATATGGTAATGAATGAAGCATTGAGACTTTACCCACCTGCAACATTGATTGATCGTGTTTGTATTAAAAAATTTAAATTACCTCCTCCAATGAAAGGTTATGAAGAATTAACAGTTGAGCCCGGTATGATAATGTGGATTCCAATTTTTGGGCTTCATCATGATGAAAAATACTTTCCAGATCCAGAAAAATTCGATCCTGAGCGATTTAGTGATGAAAACAAATTAAATATTAATTCTTCCACTTTTATTCCATTTGGTCTTGGTCCTAGAAAGTGTATAGGTGAAAGATTTGCTCTCATGGAGACGAAGATAATCCTTGCTCATTTATTGCAAAAGTTCACCATCAAGCCGACCGATAAGACTAAAGAGAAAATTGAGTTTGACAAGAAGAACTTTAATATTCAGTGCAAAGGGGGCACTTGGTTGAATTTACAACAGAGAAAAGAAGATTTAAGTGGATAAAGATTTTGCCTTTTTTAATGGATTAATTCTGATTGATTAAGACCTAATTATACAAATTTTTCTTTGTTAAATTCGTTTCTTTTTTTATGTTATTCATTTCTAGTATTTTTTCATCATAATTATTGTAATTAGTTACTATCTAAAATTTACTGTTTTAGCTTTCATCAGTTAATAGCTCTTAGTATTATCTTTTGAAATAATTGTAAAAACTGTATTTCGTAATAATAACCGATAAGCTCAACTGATAAACTATCTTTTATTATATTTTTTTATAACTGCATTATATATTATTTATATTACGTAAAGATACGATCAATCTTATTTTTAAAAAAATAATTTTTACAAAATTTCTAACTGTATATTGATAAGATAAGATTGTAGTTTTTTTTTATTGGACTTTATGTTGGGTACTGCGTAAAGAAATGTGGAAGGTCAATGAACACCAAGTCTAACTTGATTCGTTTTATGTGATTGAAACGGCTGTTAAGCTGAAGATTGAAACGGGATGAACTCAGAAATAATAAGGCCATGAGTGTCGTTAACACATAAGATATAATTAAAAGAAATTTTTTTTTGATATATTTTTATTAAAATTTTGAATTATAAAAAGATACAATATCCAATAAGTACTACTATCGAGGGAAAAATTAGTACATATAATTTTTATTAATTTACCATATTGTATAGTTTCTATGGTGACATATTTTTTGTTTTTTTTTCAACAATACCAAATAGTAAATAATAAACTTAGAATTTTAGCTCTATTTGTTTATAGCAAATAAATAATGTAATTTTTATATCTATAACGCAAAATTATTCTAAATGAATATTTAGTTTATGCTATTTAAAATAAATGAAATTTAATATTATAATTAATAAATATATCATTAAAAAAAAGTATTCATTGTAATAATACAAAAAAATAAACTACTCAGAGTTAGATATTGATTTATTTAAAAATTCAATGCCATATACATAATTTAAATGGAAATAACGATAATTGTTTGATTAGAAAAATCTAAAGAAAAGTGTTTTTATTACATTTATATAATAATTATTAGTTCGATTATATTCGTTGCTTGTGAAATTGGCTTGATTTGAAGTCAAATTATATATGCTTTATTGAATAATTACAAGAATAATTCACCTTTGATCATCCACATGTTTTCAAATTTCTATAATAATAAAAAAAATTTTTTTCAAATCTACCTATATTTTTCTACGCATATTGAATCATTACATCCTATTTTTTACAGTTAGCATATAATTAATAGTGATTATTTAATGAATGACTAATAAAGTTATTTTGTTAAAAGTGAAGAATAAAGTAAATGTTATACAAATAAATCATAATACGTATTTTTAAGTAAACAACGTTTATGTAATAAATTATCTGCAGTCATCGTTCAAAGATAATCGAAGATTGCAAAAATATACTTCAAAGTGTATGTATCTTATTATATGTATATACATTATGTACAATCGATTACCAAAGATTGTCAAATGGAAAATAGAAACACTAAAATGACATCAATGATAGAGTTAATGTATATATTTTTGCTTATTATAAAATTTTAATGTAATCCTTTAAAGATTTTGTTAAGTAAAATAATCTGAACTAAATAAGTAATCTCTTCTTGATAGAATTAGAATAGAAGATAAAATATTAATTAAATCTTTTTTAATACAAGATGATAAGCTCTGTTTCTTGAATACAAAAACTAAAAATTTTTTAAAAAAATATTATAAAAAAATATATTTTTAAAAATATATTGGTGTTCATAATTCAATTTTTTATTCCTTGACTGTTATGATAATATCTTAAAAGATAGCTTGGAATAATTGACACACAATTTAGTATATTAATGTGGACCATGTGTTTGAATTAAAATAAGAACTAATCTAAGAGAGGCCTGAAGTAACTACTGAGTTGAATTTTCTGTACAAGACAAAATTGCGACGGAAAAATGAACAGAGAAGAGATAGAATAGCTGCCTCGACTAATTTTGTTAGCGTCTATTTCTCTCTAGTAAACATGGGCTAGCCAGTGACATTCCAGCTTGGTTGGCTGATGTGTTATTTTGAAAAAAAAGTCAAGAAAAAACATTCATATATATATACATACCGTCTTTTGCCCTCTACCTAGGGAATTATGAAAAATTGGTTTTTAAAACGTAACACTGACTCTAGGGTCGTTTCATATTCCCTTAGCGTAAGGTAAATAAATACTTTTTCCTTTTCTCGTCTTTGTTAAGTCATTAATCTCTCCAGTAATTTTTGTTTTTACTTAAAAATATCGTTAGATAATTTTTTTTATTAATCATGTATACAAAATTTTTGTGCATAAAGAAAAATAATATAATAATTGTACGATAATAATGTAATAATAATTTTTAATAGAATAATTTTTATTTGAAACTTTAATGAAAAATTCAGTAGGTTTTGTAATAGATGAGATTGAAAGTTGTCAGTTATTATTAAGAAATTAAAAAAATTAAGTCAGTAATTAAATTATATCAAAAATAAGTAAAGTATACTTAAAATTGGAAAATAACGAAGTATTTGATATATTATATTTTTAATAAATGATGATATACACAGTATAAAGTTTTTACAGTTATGGTTAATATAGTTTTTCTATAACAAATAACTTATTTTGGATTAAATATTTGAAATTTAATTTAGATTATAATTGGATATATTACTCAATATTGTAATCAACTTCAGAAGTTAGTAAACATTAGGTCAGAATTTAAAATTCATTAAAGCATCGTCAAGATGAGATGCAGTAGAAAAAAGTGATAGCACTTTCTTTAGATAAAGAAACCACTGGGACTAGCTGGGCTATGTTGGACTAATAAGAACCCTTGAGACTTGAAGTGTATATTAAATGTGTATAAGAAAATATGTACGGCAAAGTTGGTGAAAAAGTGACTAAAGAAATTTGAATCACGATCGACGCCGTTACTAAGTTTTATTACCAAGTTCTTTTTAATTATTTTATTACGAAATTCTTTAAGACTTTGATAGAGTTACTTTATTTCATTTAATTTTTTGAATTTTATCATGGTAGTTTTGATTGGGAATTCATGAATACATTATATTTATTCATCTTAAAAGAAAAAATTTAATCTTTTTTATTATTTTTAAATAAAGGTTTTCTTCTATTAATCTTAAAAATTTTTCTTTTACAGTTGATCTGTTTCAAATGCTTGAATTCAATGTGACAGCTTCTTTCCCAGCAGCATCGTTATTGGTAGTAATTTTGGCTCTTGTTGGTAAGTAATTTTTCAACATTCAAGTTAAATTAGTAGTAACTTATCGATAATTTGAAACATCAGTTTTTTATCGTAAAAGACAAAGAAATTATTGACCAAGAATAAAAGCAAAATGGAAAAGAAAAAGTATTATTTGTTGAAAAGTTTTCATTTTCCTTTTTTTACAACAATATAACAACATAGATGTTAATGCTTGAAAAACTTTGAGAAAAGCAGATTAGAAGTTGATGAATCTAAAAAGCAATTATGTAATAATAAGTAGTTGAATGTTTTCCAACTTTCAAGTACTTTGAGTTAAACGAATAAAAAGAGATTGATTAAGAAGTACTTGCATTTTTATCAGACAATTTAACACTATATTTCTGGATCAATCATTGTTGTTTTTAACAAAATATACTTTATGATTTTCTTTTATTAGTTGACATATAATTTTAATTACACTGCAAATCTTGATTATTGGAAATTAATATGTGATTCACCATAACAATTTTAGTTAAACTAAAGAATGTTTAAATTTGAATAGATTATTTTTCTTTCACTTTTGTTTTTTTAATGATGAAACACTGTAAATTTTAGTATTTTATTTTAAAACATTAAAAGTGTTTTAATATGATGTTACCCATTTGATTAACATTGTTTTGATTTTAAAACGTTTTCAAGTGTTTTAGAATCAAAGAAATCTCAGAAAAGAAAATAATTTTCAAGATGTACGAATATAAATATTTTTGTTTGAATTACACGGAGATAATTTTCTTATTAAATGTAAGTGCAAAAATGATAAGTCCACGTTTCGAAATTTATGAGTAAAAATATTTCTATTCGATAGTAAATTTTAAGTTTTTGTAAGTAAACTTGTGACTTAAAAGTTGTCTTAGTAAAAGAATTACTTAAGATAACTCAAAAATTACTTACGACAACCCAAAATTCACTGTTGAATAGAAATATTTTTACTTATAAATTTGGAAACGTGGGCTTGTCGTTTTTGCACTTACATTTAGTGAGAAAATCATTTCCGTGTATAATTAATATGTATACTATGAATTGCAATAAAAGTGTTTAAATGTAATGTTACTTACTGAATAAACATTTTTGTCACTTATTTTAATACGGCAGTTTGTTTAATTTTAATATAAGTAAGTTGACTTATTGAATTGAAAATGGGTAATTTTTCAAAGTGAATAATTAAAAAATATTTCAATAATTAATTATGATGTTTTTCTTGTAATAAATTAAAAGTAAACATTCGAAATGTAGTATGCACACTTACTGCCTAACATGCGAGAGAATATGCTTGTCACCCCTAGTGTTCTCGTTTCTCAAGCGGCGCAAATACTCGAGTGCAAACTCACCCTCTTTAACGCGTCTCGACGTAGCCAGCGAATCGTGAAATATTAAAGAGCTTTTTACTAAATCAGCGGCGCCGGCATGACTTTGGCTCACTTACAAAGCTCATTGGTCAGGACGGTTAACCCCGGGATTTTGCATAAATTTCTCATGAAGGCGCAACAGTTGGGTTATTCTGTTTCATTTCTACTTCAAAATCCTATCAACCTTTTTTTGTGCATCATCGTAATTATTATTATTCATCTTTTTTCATTTCCATGCATAAGTAATGATATATTTTAGATAACATGCATTCATTTGTATTAATTTTTAATGCGATTTATTCTTCAAAAAGTGTTCTTGAAACATATTTTATCGAACAATAGATGATTTTTTTAAAAATAAAATATGTCAAGTATTTTAATTATAGAACTTTTTTTATTTTAATGTTTAAATAGTATTTTAATATCCAATCACTTAAATTCTATGTTTAGTTCGTGTCATAAAATTATTTTTTCGTGTAGTCAGTTTTAATTGATTTTACTTTGAATTTTCCTACTTGTATTTGGATTTTTAAATTGATTGTCAATTTTATACGACGTTTTAAAATATACATATACGATAGCAACGTAGTAAAAGCGATGAATACCCATAGTACCATTTTTACTTGCTTCAAATTCTTTGAAATCAATTCATTTGATGTTTAAATCTATTGAAAGCGAGTTCCTTTACGAAAAAAACTTTTTTTCACATTAGTTAGTAATTTCAAAAAATTATTTGTTGTTAACTTTCATTTATCGAAGTAACTATTTAAAATGTGATGAAATTCTTTTGAATTAAAATGTATGTTTTTAGGTTTAGAAATCTTGTAGAAAAATCAATCTTCTAAGTGTTGTTTTGTTGGTTAAAGTGAATTTCGTAAGTTCACTGGAAATCGAATCGGGTTATGTGTGGTGATGTAATATGGGATACAAGTCTGCACCCCATCCGTTTGAAGGAAACAAGTTTCAACTATCAGTTTATTTTCCGAGCATTAATCGGAAATCGATGGTGGTTTTTAAATTATTTTTTATCATTTTTATTTATTCAATGAAATTTTAGTAATTAATTTTTTTATTAAATTTATTTAGACGAAATTGTAAATGTTTGTATCATATTTGGGGTAAATTTGTAAATCAAAATAAAAATTGTAACATTTGTGATGTTCTTTTTTTTACGTTCAATCATTCTCAAAGAATTTTAATGTTTCTAAAAGTGTAAAAATAGTGCTTACAATTTTAATTAAATAAGTGAGCACCAAATTTGTATGTTTTCATCTCATTCTCATAAATTAAAGCTTATAGTATATTGATAATTATTCTTAATGTTTCAATTTATTTTTATTTTAAAATATATAACTTTTTTGTACCGTAAAACATTAATGTATATATTTTTTTTTAATATTATTTTTATTGCGATTTTTTATAATATCAGTTAGTGTAATTATTATATATTATGATGATATATAATTTACTCTCAATAAAATTGTAGTATGCTGTAATAGATTATATTTTACAGATTTTTAATACTAATTGTTAATTGATTGTCAGTAGTTAATTTCATTTTTTCAGAATTAATGGTAATAGTTTACTCTATACGGAGAGAATTTTTTCACTAAATGTAAGTGCAAAAATGATAAGTCCACGTTTCGAAATTTATGAGTAAAAATATTTCTATTCGATAGTAAATTTTAAGTTTTTGTAAGTAAACTTGTGACTTAAAAGTTGTCTTAGTAAAAGAATTACTTAAGATAACTCAAAAATTACTTACGACAACCCAAAATTCACTGTTGAATAGAAATATTTTTACTTATAAATTTGGAAACGTGGGCTTGTCATTTTTGCACTTACATTTAGTGAAAAAATTCTCTCCGTGTATTATTTATTAATTCAAACTTTGATATTTTTACGATATTGTTTACAATAAGTTGACAATAAATAAAAATGTTATGTAGTTTACATTATAATAAATAAATATTATGGAAGTATATAGTAAAACAATTGAAAAAATATGCTTTCAAAGATGCGTAATTTTCAGTGAAATATATAGCCACTAGTTGCTTTCGGATGTAACTATCATAACAAGAAAGGCGGTAAGTTTCTAGGTCGAACGAATTGTCGGGTATTCAAGTAGGGCTGGTCTATTCTATACGGCATTTGCAGAAGAAGAGCGGGTTACAGAGAATATAAGAGGGCGGGACGTCTTAGGGAAGTTGTTATCTGAAGTAATGGGTTCCGGTTCCTGTGTCGCTTCCTACTCTTCATCCGTCATCTCATTCTCCAACAAATCTTGGTTTTCGACTGACTCTCTTGGTTCTTATCTCTATTTCATATCTCATCTAATTGTCATCTTATTCATGTCGGTTGTCTTCAATTTTGAAAAAAATCCTCATTTTGATTTTTATCTTATGGCATTTTCATTTTATTTTTTTGATTTGTATTTCAATATTACAGTATGGAAATGATGATTTAATTTATCTTTATAATTGAAATATTTAATTTAATAATTAAAATAATTAATATCAAAAATGTACAATCTATTATTTCAAGATAGATACATTATTTATTTATTAATGATTTATAATAAACTATTCAAAAGATATTAATATTGTAAGTTAAAATATTTACATGATTGATTTTATTGATCGAAAATGATTATCGAGTCTCGCTTTTATATAAAAGTAGAGTGGTCGAGTGTGGTAGAAAGTTTGTAGGATCCTTAGCTTAACTTAGTGAAGAAATGCTCGACTAGTATGCATTTAAACGGGTGTATTAACTTTCCTCTTATCCGGGTGTTATGAGAACATCTTGGACGCCATGGTTGTGATTCATGTGTCTAGAAGTGCCCATCTGAATAGCCATTGGTAGCTGTCACTACCTTTTAAAATATTTCAATTATTATTTCTATCTATTTTTTTGTGTTCAGAACCTTTGAATTAAAAACAAATTTAGATAAATATTTACAAATCAAATCTGAATTTCTAAAAGTATCAAATATTGAATTTTATTAAAAGGTTTAGTTTAAATATTAAACAGATTTAGTAGAAAAGAATGATTTGAGCGACCTTGGTTGAGTTATTGAGAATTTCGCTAGATTTGAGTAAACGCAAAAAGAACGCAAAAAGAAGCAAAAAAAACTTGGATGACGTCTGATCAAAAAACTAATTATCCTTTAGTACATCCTGAATTTTTGTTTCATTTATTATTATTATTATTATTATTATTTTCATCTTGCGATTCGTCAGAGGTGTCTGGCCAGGGATCCCAGGGCTCCGACCCACCTGGGGCCTGACCAGACGGAATTATCCTGCAGGCACCTGACTCCCTCAGGTTTGAGGGTGAGCCGGGGCTGCAGCCGTTCAGTCATTTGTTACAGTCGTCTCAGGATTCGGAGAGAACCAAGGATGACCGCTTTCTGCATACGAGCCGCGAGAATCTCAGCCTGACTACGGCAGACTGGTATTGTTCGAAGCTCTGTCAGAAAGCGGTCCCTCATCCCTCCGAGGGCGCCAATCACCAGGACTATCACGTGCGCTGTGTATTCGTGATAGACATTTCTCATGACCTCCATGAGCTCTCTGTAGCGTTCCTGTTTACTCTCTTCTTTTGCACGTATATTTGTCTCAGCCGGGGCTGAGA